GTGGATCAAGCGCTGGATCTTCTGGGAGCGCACCGCCAAGTGTCCCGATCTGTACCACGACGAGAATGACGAGCAGGTGGGCGAGAACTCCGCTTAAGGGGTGCTACGTACTGCCCGGAACTGAGATGTGCCCTCTTGTTAGGGCGTGATATTGTTAATCGAAATGCACAGTCGAGTGAGGTGGTTTTGGCCACCAATGCCTCTCGTACGATTCGAATGTTGTTTCTCGTGTCGAGTCGTTCGTTGGATCTTCGCCATGACCGTGCCTTGTCATTGGTCTAATAGTTTTCTCTCGTATCGAAGACACTCACTTTTGGTTTATTTCTGTTTGGATAATTAATACCCAATGTTTGATTTTGTTGTCGGTTAGTTTTGGTTGTTATGAAGCCACGATTTTGCGTTGGAATACATATGCAGCTGTTTACTCGTTTGCGTTGGCCATGCTTAATTGTGAGAAACGATTCAACCTTAACGCGCACCTTCATTGTAGGTGCATGCGAGTGGTTCGGGAAATGAAAACGGCCTGTCATGTTCTCCTCATCTGCCGAGACTCCAACGAAATGACTCCGCTGGAATCTCACTTAGCCAGCGCCTGGCTCGGAAGTATTCGAGCATGAGGCGTGTATGAATAAACTGACCAAATTTCTACATTTAACGAACTTGAGTTAAAAAAAGAGCGAGGCAAATATATGAGCTCTCCATTTACGTCAAAACCAGACTCCATCATGGCCAACGAATCGCAGCGGACAAAAGAGGGGCCCACTGTACGTATTCACAACGAGGTGTATCCCTTCATCTACCCGTCCAAGTTCCGCGGCAGTCTGCAGGACAAGGTCGCCGTCATCACCGGCGCGGCGGGTGCAATCGGGCAGGGCCACGCAGAGAGCTTTGCTGTCGCAGGCTGCCGCCTCTTTCTTGTCTACAATCGCACCCCGCCACCAGATACTCTCGAGGCCCGTTGTCGTCAGCTGGGCGCCGCCAATGTTCATTTTGTCCAGTGCAATGTCTCGGAGTTGGCGTCGTGCGAGAAGCTCGTCCATCACATCCTCGAGGCGACGATCGACGACAGCCATGCGAGCGGCCGTGTCGACATTTTGGTGAACAACGCGGGCGCCAACATGCTGGCGCCCATGTACGAGCAGGATCCGCGGGATTTTCTGTACGACATGGCCGTCAACTTCAACGGGCCGTATTGCCTGATGCGGCTGCTGATGCCGACGTTCCGCGCGCAGCGCAGCGGCTGCGTGATCAACATTGCATCGCGGGCGGGCACGGTCATCCTCCCCTGGAGCACGAGCTACTGCGCGAGCAAGGCGGCGCTGATCAACCTGACGGGGTGCATCCAGATGGAAGCGGACGCCGAGGGGTTCAGCGACATCCACTTGTATGCGCTGCACCCGGGCGGCGTCCGGTCGACCATGGTCACGAAGAGTATGCCACGGGGTCCATTCACGGGTATCGTCCGATCAAAAAGGGGTCAAGCACAACACTAACGCGTTGCACAGAATACTCTGACGAGAGCGTCTCCGCCCTCCCGGTGGGCACGTCGCAGTACAGGGGCCTGCTCGACTTTTACAACGACTCGGTGTACCTCGGCGGCATGGTGTCGGTGGCGCTGGCGACGGGCGTGGCCAAGCACGCGCTGCGGGGCCGGTACTTTGACGTCGGCCACGACCTGGAGGACGTGCTGGCCCACGCGGCGGAGATCCGGGCCAGTCCCGAGCTGTACTCGCTGCACACGTCGTTTGTGGGCGGGCTGTCCAATGCGACCATGGGACCGCGGCCCAACGAGACGCCTTTTGATTTTCCCGGATTCTAACGACCTCCAAGTTCAGTGGGTCGTGAAAGGATACAGGCTGGGTACGGTAGCATTAGAGTTGCGAATCTGGCACACGGAACGAGCTGTGCGCTGTATGATGCGAGTATCATTTATCCGGAACGTCGGCAAAGGCCACGCTCCAGGATCTGTCTGTATCTGTCAACTGTGCACACTTTTATGTCTGAATTCAATTGTCGATTGCTTCACTTGGTTGGATGCCTTTTTGCCGTCACAGTAATTCTGCTTCAACAGCGACACACGTCCGAAATGGTGCAGTCCAGCCAGGTCCTCTCTGCGGCACTCGGCGCCGGCTTGGCCTATGTATTTCCGGCGGCGTATAGCCTGGCGGCGCCGCGGTTGCAGGGCATCGTATCCAAGTCTCCCCTTGTCTTCGACATCCAGCAAAACCCTCCAGCCGAATCCAACTCCGAGCCCTACGAATGCCCCGCTGACCAGGGGTACCGGACGGAGATCGTCTCCCTTGACCCGCTGCTCATCTACATCCACGACTTTGTCAGTCCCCGCGAGGCTGATCTCGTGATCCGCGCCGGCGAGTCCCTCCTGCAGCCGTCGCCCGTCACGGGCTACGGAGGCGACGGGCCGGCTTCTCAGGCGCGGACATCCTGGAGTGCGCCACTTCCCGATGTCGTCGACGACGCTGCCGTGGCCTGTGTCCTTCGCCGTGCCGAGTCGTTCCTGGGGACCGTGCTGATGCCAGGCCGTGACGACATCGGCGCCGCGCAGCTCGTGCACTACGACAACGGGCAGAAGTTTGACCTGCACCACGACTGGTTCCGGCAGCCGCGCCTGTCCGACGCCGATGCCGCAGCGGGGCGTCGACGGCTGTACAACCGCGTGGCCACATTTTTTGTTGTGTTGCAGGCCAACTGCACTGCGGGGGAGACCTACTTTCCCCAGGCGGTCGTTCCGGGTGCGGCCAAGATCCCACGGGTGACAGGTCCCCACGGGTCCACTGAACCGCGTCTCGAGGGAACTGGCACGGCTCACGCGCAGAACGACAACGACGGGACTACAGAATCGCCGCTACCGATTTGGCGCGAGCACGAAAATGGGGGCCTGGCGTTCCGACCAGTGGCTGGAAACGCACTCTTTTGGGTGAACCTGTTTGCCAACGGCACCGGTGACACGCGCACGCTACATGCCGGCCTCCCAGTGGGCGAAGGCACCAAGACGGCCATGAACATCTGGCCGCGTTCCTACTTTGGACCGGATGCATAGACGCAAAAAACTGCCGTGGCATTGTCCGAGCGATTGCAAACACATTCGGAGAAAGCGCCGATTGCAGGAGCATCTCGGCCGCGCTTGTCCCGAATCCAGGGCAAAGCGGGGTATTAGCGCCTCCCTGCTCTGGCCGCCGACACCGTCTCGAGCCTCAAGGGCGACATTGGATGGCCTTTTCTGGGTGTTGGTGTGAATACAGGCATTGCTTGCGAGATTGGCCCTCCACAGCAACGGTCGCTTTGCTAGTCCTTCCGGTTGCTTCTCCACAGCATGGGGGGCCGCAACCCAAAAATTGGATCGTGAGGGGGTGCATGAATACAACATAGATTGCTATGACAAACCGAAAGAGGCACAAATCGTCACTGGACCAATCTGGCCGTTGACGGAGCTGTACGTCGTATATACGTCGCGCGGTCGCTGCTCCTGCAAGGCCGACGCATTCATCGATAGCTGCTTCTCCTCCGTACAGTAAATAGACAGCTGGATTCGTCGCGACTTTTTCGTTCTCCTCTCTCTCTCTTCACAGTTGACTTTCACCCATACATACCGCATCTCTCTCAATGGCGGGCCAGAAGAGACACTACCTCATCACGGGCGCCGCGGGCCTCGTCGGTCCCGCGCTGGCTGAGCGCCTGCTCGAAGACCCCGACAACGTCGTCTTCCTCACCGATCTGATCAAGCCCTCCGTGCCCGCCGGCGCCAAGCACCCCGAGAACGCGCGCCTGCTCGAGGCCGACCTGTGCGACACGGATGCCATGAAGGGGGTGGTGGCCGCCGCCCTGCCCCTGACGGCCGCCTTTGTCTTCCACGGCATCATGTCGGGCGCCTCCGAGGCCAACCCGGCGCTCGCCATGAAGGTCAACGTGGACGCCGTGCGCAGCCTGCTGCTGCACCTGGCCGAGGTCCAGCGCGGCGTGCGCGTCGTCTTCTCGTCGTCCAACGCCGTCTACGGCCCGCCGCTGCCCGACGTCGTCACGGAGGCCACCACCCCGACGCCCACGGGTGTCTACGGTAGCTGCAAGTACATGATGGAGATTCTCGTCAACGACCTGACCCGCCGCGGCGAGATCGACGCCTTCTCCGTCCGCTTCCCCACCATTTCCGTGCGCCCCGGCAAGCCCGCGCCGGCCGCCAGCGCCTTCTTGTCCGGCGTCATCCGCGAGCCCATGAACGGCCTCCCGTGCGCACTGCCCCTGACCGACCGCGGCTTCAAGGCCACGCTCTGCAGCCCGCGCGTCGCCATCGAGAACCTGCTGCGCGTCGTCGCCTGGCCCTCGGACAAGCTGCCGCCGCACCAGCGCGCCGTCAACTTCCCCGGCATCATTGCCAGCGTGCAGGAGCTGCTGGATGCATTGGCCAAGGTCGGCGGCGAGGACAAGCTGAAGCTGGTGCGCGACGAGCCCAACGCGGCGTACGAGGCGCTTCTGCGCAGCTGGGCCTGGAGCCTCGACTACTCGAAGCCGCTGGCGCTGGGCCTGGTTCGTGACAAGGATGCCGAGGGCCTCGTGCGGGAGTACGTTGCGACCCTCAAGAAGTAAGAGCCGTGCGGGAGACGTAGAAAGATACCAAACGACCAAAGACCAGTCGGAAACACACGAGACACAAAACCATCGTATAGTTGTATCTTAGCATATTTACACAGCATTGTGAACAGCTGCATTCAAACGTTGAACAATGCGCTGCCAATTTGCCCGTAGCGCTGTGTTGTGGCGTAAACAACCGCTAAAGAGACCAGAGTGTTTGCGACGCCTGCGCACAAAAGTCGTTCTGCCGTCTGTCACCGCCTGCCTACCCCACGAAAAGCGGCGGAAAACCACATGGCCTTCGACGTTCTGGAATATTGTCTCCGGCGACGACCTAACTCCTGGACAACCTCCCAACACACCCTCTTCCCCGTCCGGCCCTACCCACACAACCGAGTATCTAGGACCATTTCGCCATGGTTCTTCAGGATCTCGGACGCCGCATCAATGCGGCCGTGTCAGATTTGACACGGGCGCCAAATATCGACGAGAAGGTGAGTTGCGATTCGGCACGCGAACATCCATACTGGATCAGAAAAGCCAGCGCCGGCGGCCCAGACGGCGATGCTAACTGCCTCTCCTTGTCTTGTGTAGGCCTTCGACTCGATGCTCAAGGAGATTGGCAATGCCCTCGTCGAAGCAGACGTCAACGTCAAGCTTGTCGCCCAGCTGCGCAAATCCATCAAGTCCACCGTCAACTTCAAGGAGCTGCCGCCCGCCGTCAACAAGAAACGCCTCATCCAAAAGACCGTCTTCGACGAGCTCGTCCGCCTCGTCGACCCCCATGCCGAGCCCTTCAAGCCGAAAAAGGGCAAGACCAACGTCATCATGTTTGTGGGTTTGCAGGGCGCCGGCAAGACCACGTCCTGCACAAAACTCGCCCGCCACTACCAGAGCCGCGGCTTCAAGGCCTGTCTCGTCTGTGCCGACACCTTCCGCGCCGGTGCGTTTGACCAGCTGCGCCAAAACGCCACCAAGGCCAAGATCCCCTACTACGGCTCTCTCACCGAGACGGACCCCGCCGTCGTCGCGCGCGACGGCGTCGACAAGTTCAAGAAGGAGCGCTTCGAGGTCATTATTGTCGATACGTCCGGCCGCCACCGGCAGGAGTCGGCCCTGTTCCAGGAGATGATGGACATCCAGGAGGCCGTCAAGCCCGACGAGACCATCATGGTGCTCGACGCCACCATTGGCCAGCAGGCCGAGGCGCAGGCCAAGGCCTTCAAGGAGGCGGCCGATTTCGGCGCCATCATCATCACCAAGACCGACGGCCACGCCAAGGGCGGCGGCGCCATCTCGGCCGTTGCTGCGACGCACACGCCCATTGTGTTTCTGGGCACGGGCGAGCACATGCTCGACCTCGAGCGGTTCGCGCCCCAGCAGTTTGTGCAGAAGCTGCTGGGCATGGGCGACATGGCGGGCCTCGTCGAGCACGTGCAGTCGCTCAAGCTCGACCAAAAGGACACCATCAAGCACATCACCGAGGGCATCTTCACGGTGCGTGACCTGCGCGACCAGCTGTCCAACATTATGAAGATGGGGCCCCTGTCCAAGATGGCCGGCATGATCCCCGGCATGAGCAACATGATGTCCGGTATGGACGACGAGGAGGGCAGCGCCAAGCTGAAGCGCATGATTTACATTTGCGACTCCATGACCGACAAGGAGCTCGACTCGGACGGCAAGCTCTTCCTCGACCAGCCGAGCCGCATGACCCGCGTCGCCCGCGGCTCCGGCACCTACGTGCGCGAGGTCGAGGACCTGCTGACCCAGCAGCGCATGATGGCCGGCATGGCCAAGAAGATGGGCGGCAACATGAAGAACATGCAGCGCGCCCAGCAGGCCATGGCCGGCCCCAACAAGCAGCAGCAGCTCGCCGCGATGCAGAAGCGACTGCAGAGCATGGGTGGTGCCGGTGCCGGCGGCGGCGGCGGCGGCGGCGGCCTGGGCGGTATGATGCCGGACATGGGCAGCCTCATGAAAATGCTGGGCGGTGGCGGCGGCGGCATGCCCGACATGGGCGGCATGGACATGCAGGCGATGATGCAGCAGATGGGCATGGGCATGGGCGGCGGCGGCGGCTCGCCGGCAGCCGGCCGTGGTGGTCGCCGGAAGTAGTCTTTCTGACAAAGCCGCTTCTCTTTCCGTGCTCTTCCCATCTCCTACATCACGTTGTATATCCAAGGGGGACGTTGACTAGTTGTCTGTTGCTGGGCTGCTGGATCTGTGATATCCTACGTTGATGCGTATCATTGTACAGGCGTTTTTTTGTGCATTTTTTTTAATTATTGGTAGGACGGCCCATCTTCGTATTTATACTTTGACCAATTAACCTTTTCAACGTTTCCATACAGAAGGGGGTGCTCAATTAAAAGGTAGCGTGGACAAGGGACAAACGAAACAAATCATGACAAAAACACTTCAAAGCACCAAAATCAAGCTGCATCCATATGAAACAAAAGAAATACTGCAAGGATATCCAACTCCTTCCCTTAGAAATTACCGCTGTCCTGGTCGTCAAATCCCGCTGAGTAGTCAGTCTCCTGATAGGTGTCGGTCTCTTGGTAGGTATCAGTTTCTTGGTAGGTGTCGGCCTCTTGATAGGTATCAGTCTCTTGGTAGGTATCAGTCTCTTGATAGGTATCAGTCTCTTGGTAGGTGTCGGCCGCTTGATAGGTGTCGGCCGCTTGGTAAGTGTCGGTCTGCTGATATGTATCCGTCTCCTGATACGATGCCGTGGCTTGGTAGGAATCGGTCTCTTGATACGAAGCCGCGGCCTGGTACGTGTCGGTCTCTTGGTACGAAGAAGACTGATCGTAGGAAGCGGACGCGTAGTCGTACGAGCTCGAGGCTGCCACCGTGTCGGTCTGATTGTAGCTGGTGCTGTCGTAACTGTAGTTGTTGTCGACAAACGTATTGTTCTCGACTGTCCGGTTTTCAACATCGGTGTTGTTGACAACCGTGGTGTTATCCACTACAGTCGTATTGTCAATGACCGTGGAGTTGTCGATGACAGTTGTATTGTCGATCACGGTGCTACAATGGTTAGTTAGCAAGGTAGCCATTAAGGGACATGTTTCCTGAAACAAGAAACTCACTTCTCAACCACTGTGTTGTTGCCAACAACACGCGAGTCGTCGACAAAGGTCGTGCTGCCGTAGTAGCCAGGGCCCGTCTCGACGTACTCAACCACCGAGGGCTGATACACCCCAACGACTGCCGGGCCACCAGCACCAACAAAGGTCTCTCCTTCATAAGCACGACCGCCGTATCCGCCGCCGCCTCCAAGGCCGGCAGCTTGAGCAACCTCGCCTGCAAACTTCTTCTCCTCGTTATGCTCCCACTTTTCAAACTTCTCAGCACCTTCCACAGCCAACACGCCAGCTGCAATACCGCCAACGGCTCCCAGGCCGACTTTTTGGCCCGTCGAGAGCTTGCTGAAGAAGCCCTGCTTCTTGGGAGGTTCTGTAGCCGCTGCCGGGGGTGGTGCATAGCTGGCCGGAGGAGGACCACCGTAAGGGGCGGGAGCTCCATAGGGGGGTTGGCCAGGATATGGCTGCTGACCGTATGGAGGCCGTTGACCATACGGCGGCTGTCCGTAAGGAGCAGGAGGCTGCCCAGGAGCGCGAGCCGGACCACCGGGGCCACCTGGAGGAGGGGGTCCGCCTCGCCCAGCTTGGCCAGAGGGGGGCTGGGCACCATACGGCGCTTGGCCTGGGGGACCAGGGCGAGGAGCACCTGCGCCTGCATATGGCGGCTGTCCCGGCGGGCCAGGGGGGACCAGGAGGAGCACCAGGTGCACGCTGACCAGGGGCACCAGGGGCACCAGGCGCAGCTCCGGGAGGACGAGGGCCACCCGGAGAGTAAGGCACAGGCGCACCTGCAGGAGGAGCACCAGGTGGGCCACTAGGACCGGCAGGCCGTGCCTGGGGCTGACCAGGCGAGTATGCCGGTGGTACCGGTGAGCTGCCACGGATGTTGGGCGGCTGGCCTGGTGCAAGTGCAGTTGCCGGAGGCGCTGCGTTGTAGGGAGGCTGGCTGGTGGCCGGCGGAGGAGAACCGTAGGTAGCTGGGCCTGATGTGGTTGGCGGAGGAGCGCCGTACGGCCGAGGCGTCGTGGCAGCCGGAGGAGCACCGTAAGGAGGCTGAGCAGCCGGCGGCTGGGGAGAGCCGTATTGCGGGTAGCCTGGCTGCTGTTGGCCGGGAGGCGGGACTGGGCTGTAGGCAGCCGGCGCAGGAGGCGGGGGCGGAGAAGAGTATGCGCCGCCATACTGTTGGGGCGGCGGCTGCTGGACCGGCGGAGGAGCATACGACTGGTAGCCTGGCTGCTGGGGTGGAGGCGACGTGTGCTGGCCGTATGGAGGCTGGCTTGTGGGAGGCGGTGCGCCACCACCCGAGATGTTCATGTTGGACATGGCAGCCGCCAGCGGATCCTGACCCGGTGGCGGCTGCTGGTGAGGAGGCTGGCCATAGTACGGAGGCGACTGTGGCGGAGGGTACTGGCCGTATTGTTGAGGAGGATTTTGCGCATATGGAGGCTGCTGGGGCTGGCCATATCCTCCGCCCGGCGGAGGCGGCTGGTTGTACTGCTGCTGGTATGCCATGGTGCTGGATGTAGTGAGAAGGTGCTTCTCAGGTAGGTAGACTGTGACGAGACGGGGTTTTAACCAAGCACCAGCCTTTACCGTTTGGCAGTCGTCCTATTTTCAAACCCAAGGCAAAATACAAAATCAAAGCGACTGACAAGCTTCATCCGCATGAGATCAACAACACAACAGAGGGGCGAGGACGCGGGGTATTAATGTCCCTCATTTCCACGAGAAATACGGCCCCATGGCATAGCAATGGCAGCATCGTTCCCATTGTGGTATGGCCAGGCCGCCCTGGCCACTCTGGCCTCGTATGGCTTGGTATTGTTTCTGGTCTGGGCTCTGGTCTACCCGATGGAGGTTAGGTTGTCTGCAGAGACCCACGACAAAAGGCAGACAGCCCGACAAAAGCACGGGACCGATCTGGTCTGGTGTGAGATATTGCTTCCCGTTTGGAGTGGCCTGGCCAAACTGCGGCTGAGCGGGCGGTAGCCAACTGGCTGCCATGGCGATGTGTCAAACGGAGGCCTGGCCATCGTCCTGGGTGGGCGGGCAGCAAAAGATACAACAAAAATAAATGCGACAAAAAACGAAATGCATGAGGGGGTCAACAAACCAATAGATTCGAGGCGCATTTGCGCGCATTGGTGCTAGTGGTTCCGCACGAGCCGATGTTTAATGCTGAGAGGCTGAACGGAAATGGGTCCGAAGGAGGGTTCCGCATGTCGGAAAAGGCTTGTCTGGTCCTTGGCCGTTCCCTCGTAAAGCTTCTTTTCCTCCTGCGGGAGGCCCAGGCCACCCACATGGCTGCGAGCCATTCGCCAGATCAGCACAGCCATGGGTACCCCCCTGTCCACATGTAGCGCCGTGTCTTCTCTCTATTTTCGCAAGCTTCCTGATTGCACCACTGGATCTTCACCGTTCCGCACCTTGTCACCCAACTCTTTGGGCAACCCGAGCATGTGGAAAAGTCCGAAGGCCCTGAATCCCTGAATCTGCCTCGCCTGCGATGCTGGGCAAAGGGGCCAGAAAATGCTTGGCACGTAGATCTGATTCTCACCAAGCTAATAGTATCGATGCAACGATGCGATATGGCTTGTATCAGGTAAGGTTGACGAGGTTGACGGTGAGAAGCTGCATATTGCGTGCGACACGGAAGACGCTGGTGTCTCATATGCCTCAAGTCAGATGCCCCTTTTCATAAGGTTTTGAGCGTAAGATGTCGAGAGGAAAGAACAAAGCATGTCCAGGAAGAAGGGACGATGGCCGGCCCACGCAGGTGTCACAGAATTATGATTAATGGGGCGGGAGGGAAAGTGCCTGTTGCTGTAGTCAGGTGCCCCTTCTACCCCTTCCCGCACCGCTACGATGCAAGGCCAAAATTAGAACGAAGGAAACACGCTCGGAGCTGCAACAGAGCGCGCTACTGCCCAAACAAGCCACTAACAAATACAACGTCGTCAAATGCGCACAGCAAGCTCCTTTGGTACTGGTAAATATCACACTCTTTTGATTGGGGAAACTTGCATGTCTTGACAGTATCCGGAGAAAAGACACAAACAGCGGCGACAAAATATTGAAACGCAGTCACCATAGCTTCCATACAAACCACAGTACATAACTAAACAAGCACACGCTATGGTTCTGTCATCGTTAGATAACAGAAAGGACAAGTAAACAGCCAGCGGACATAGAACAATACTTGTTGCCGTGTTTAAGATACAAAATATATAAAATGCGCAAAGCTTCCTAGCTATATTGTGGAAGAACAACCGGCCAATACAATCGATCGTCGGCAACTCTTGGCCTGGCATCCGGCAGTTCACTTCAGTCACGGTACGGTACTGAATAGGACGAGCCGACATTGTCGTAGCAGGCCACGGCGCCCGACTCAGTCATGTAGATACCGTCGTTGAGGTCAACGGAGCCACAGTCGCAGTCGAGGTACCGGGTGTTAAACATGCGGCTCGTGCAGCCCTGGCACGACGCGAAGGCGCCGCCCATGTAGCCCCAGGCTAGATTGTTGTTGTAGTTGCCGAGACAGAGGCTAAGGTCGAGCGTGGAGGCAACCTCAGTGGCCGGGTTGCCCGGGTCAGTATTGCACGTGGCCTGGAGGTGGCCGTAAGCCTCGCCGTGGCTTGTGACTTGGTAAAAATCACATTGCGCGATGAAGCCGCCGTGGCGGGCCGGGGTGGCCTGGCGGCTGGCGACGGGGGTGGCCACGGCGAGGGAAGCGAGAGAGGCGGCGGACATAAGAGCCACAGCCTGGTTGGCAAAACAAGGCTTCATAATAACGAAGAGTGCAGGATTACGCTTGGAAAAGATCGTGATACGATGTGAGAAAAGGAGATGGAATACTGAGTGGAAGGGAAAACGGCAACAGCGGCAAGACGGACGTCATGCATTTTTGTATCCCACACTTTTGGCAGCCGCGTTCCTATGTAAAAGGAAAGAGCCATGAACAGGAGGGAAGGGACGAACAAAAGACGAGCAAGGAAGGAGGGGGGTCTTTGTTGTTGATACACGATCGCTCCTTCCTCGTCATGTATTTCATGAGCTCGTGGCAATGTTGGCCCACTCGGCCGCGTCTTCTTCGCAAATATCGCCATCATGACTCAAGACTATGCAAGGGTAAATGCATGTCTACAAAGACAACAGACGCGATTACGGGTTTTGAAGGAGCAGGAAGTTGCAGACAGGTGTAGCCAACATGATAATCCTTTTGTCACGCTAGTGTCGACAATGAATGCGACACGATGGATTCGACATCGAGGCACGGGGAAACAAAGGTAAGAAAGAGCTCATCGCATGTGATGCACCTCCTGGAAAATCAATCAAAGGAGGAATCGGCCAACAATGCATTGATGGGCCTTGACGGCCAGGGAGCGGGTTGTTATTGCTGACTCGCTCTGTTGTTAGCCTGGTGCATGAAAGACGCATGTTCAACTGGACGTCACAGGAAAACAAAGGAGGGGCACGCAAACAATGAATATATTCAGCAGGAATCAACAGACAGGAGAAAAAGTAAAGAAAACGCAAGCAGAGAGTTTCATCGCAATTTGACTCACTCTCATCGCCGTACCAACCGACATCGTTTCATCACTTGACGGACTCCAAGACCAACCGCACCTGGACCGACCTTCCTTTACCTAGATACGATTTTCCTTGGGTCAACGGTCCATTGCAACATCCGTTTTAAGCAAAAGCGCCACGAAAAATTGAAACGAGAGTAACAAATGAATATGACTCTAAGTCTATGTCTTTGGCTCGCTGTCTAATTCGCATTCTAAACCCATCTATGTGCATGCCTGAATTTCCTCCAATATCACTTTCTCGACGTTCCCAACACAGTCCATGGCCGCAGCCTCGGCCTGCACAGCCTGGGCTGTCGCCGCAAACTTGGGTTCCGACAGAACCGCATCCAGGGCGGCACCCAGCGCCTCGGGCGTGGGATGCGCCGTCGCCAAGTCAATGCCAAGGCCGCTGTACTGCACGCGTTTTCCGCTCTCGGGTTTGTCTTGAGTGTCGCCCGCCAGCACCTGCGGCACGCCGTGGATGATGCCGTGCATGGTTGCGCCGTACCCGCCGTTGTGGACCCAGAGGGCGGCGTACGGGAGGACGGCGTCATACGAGAGATAGTCGGCGACGCGACAATTGACGGGCAGGGGGCCGCTGCTTTCCGACAATGACGCGCCGCGAACACCGAGGATGGCAATCGTCAGTACGTCGGCGCGGCCGGCCAGGAGGCGTATCGTGGGCAAGATGAGCTCCGTCGGCTCGGTCTCGACGGTGCCCTGTGCGACAACGACCACCTTCTTGCGATCGTTGAGAGGCAACGCCTGGTTGGACACGAGCTCGCCCCACCAGGGAAACGGCGGCGGTGCAGCGAGGACGACAGGCGGGACGACGCCCACAATGCGGAAGCCGGCAGGCATGTCGCTGCGGGGCAGCTCAAACGACGGCACACCGACCTGGGCAATCGCGTCATGGCAGACGTAGTTGGCGCCGGCCATGAAGACGATGGTCTTGACACGTTCGTCGACGGACAGGCCTGCCTCCTTGAGCTTTTCTTGCCAGAGAGCACTCAGTGGCGCCGCCCTGGCGGTGATCCACTCGTTCCAGAGAGCGGCCAAACGAGCGGGTCTGTCCGGTGTCTTCTCCAGGGAGTCGGGATAGCCATAGGGCGGATGGTCGACGCTGCGAATGGCCGGCGCAGTGATCGATAGGCAGACCGACCGACGAAGGACCGCCGGTGGCAGAGACAGTCCGAGCTTGAACGGCATCGCGCCGTAAAAGAAGGCCTCTGTCACCACCAGGATACGGCTCCCCGGATTTTCGTGGATCAGCGTCTCCACGGCTGCTTGCAGACTGGCCCACTCGCCCGGCAGCGCACACAGTGCCTGGTGCCGGTTGTCGGTGACCGATTGGGGCAGGGCCGCCGCCTGTTCTGGCGACAGGCCGTCCACGCCGCCCTTTTTACGGTCAAACAGCGAGTCATCGTCCAGGTCCGCCACGTCGCCCACGAGCGGCAGGAACTGCAGCCCGGCCGCCTCGATGCGCGCACGGAAAAAGGCGGCACTGAGGAAGGAGACGCGCCATCCGAGCTGCCGGTGCAAGCCAGCGGCGATGCGCAGGACGGGCGTGATGTGGCCCGTGAGCGGGTGGCAGCAGAAAAGGAGGATGGGACGCGCCATCGCGTGGATGGGTGGTTGTGGTAGAAAGTTGTCGTCAGATGACAGTTGACAAGTGTGAACTTGATGTTGGCGATCATATTGGTCACTTAGAAGGAGCCACGTTGTAGGGCGATTGGTGGACGGTGCATACTATTTAGGGCGCCATTAGCGGCAGATTGGGCAACTTTTCAGGGGTTTACGTGCATCAACACGAACGTCTCATCGCACATACACCACTGAGAGAAACGTTCAAAATATGAATACTGAAATCAACAAGGGACAGTTGAATCAAACCAAGTTGGATGAAAACTGAAGCATTGCTCAAAAAAAAAAACCCCACTTTTACAGGCCTATCAATACCTTGCCGACACCACTCGGCAGAACTCATTACTTCCCTATTCAGATCCTGCCCTGCTGCCACTCTTGCTCCCACTTTTGCTTGCTGTCTTGCTTCGGCTCTTGCTCCTTATCTTACTGCCACTCGCCTGGGAAGTTGACAAGACATTCTCAGCTACTTTTCCACTGCCCCCTCCTTCGCCCTCGTCGGCTGGCGATTGTGGCGTTTGTGTGCCGGAGGCAACTGTACCAGCAGGTTCTCCAGTGCCTTCGCTGCCGTCACGTACATCGCCATTGGCACCAGACATTGTCACATCTTCAATGCGAGGCGACGTGAGTTCGGCCGGTGTTGGCGAAGTGGACGAGGATGTGTTCTGGTCCTGCAGGTAATGTTGACAACCATGGCAGTGATGACCATGTGGCCAGTCGATGCCGGAAACTACCAGTGCCGGGCAAGCACCGGCGGCATGGAAACGTGCTACACAGGCGGCCTGTCAGTTTTAGAAGGGGACAACACAATGGTTCAGATTATAAACTTTCGAGGGTGGAAAGGGAACCTTACAGTGGGCGTCCAGCAGACGGTTGGATAGGCCACGACGACGGGCGGCGGATAGTAGAGGTAGTAGGATGGGCATGTGTACTGGGTTGTTACTAATGTACATCTATACCATAAATGATTTGAGTTGCGAGGACTATTTCTCCTACATATGAATACACTGCTGGTGGACAGCAGACGTTGTTGGTGACTGAATAGCGGACCACGCGGCGGCACTTTGAAGACATGTTGTTGGTGTTGCAGAGCTGCGACGCTGAAGATATTCGATCGTTGACTGCTTGGACGCTTTGTATGGTTCCATCTCAATGCTTTAATCTCATTTGGGTTTGGAGGTCCCGCGTCTTATATGTCATGAACCCGCAGCCTTTCAACGTGACAGGAAGCACAGGATACACAAAACACTACTCACGATGGTGACATTGGTGAGGCTCTGGAAACGTGGTGCTGCTAGTACGCCCAAACCACAAACAGGTTACAGTGAAAGACCATCCCTTGCAAGGTTGTCATCTGTGACGAGATGCTTGGAATTGCTGGCTGTCAGACTGCCGCCACTCCTGTAAATACAGCCTCTCCACACCCAGTCGAGCCTCGCTGTTGCACGGGCCGTTAGTGTGTTATGTGTTACCGGCGCAGTGGGTTAGCGCCTGCCACCGGCCAAGGCCAAGCCAGTCCTGGACGGCTAATGCAAGGTGAGCCGGGTGAGAAAAAAATATGAAAATAAAAAATGACAAAAAAGCTCCATAAAGCTCCATAAAGCTTAAATCTGAGCCCTCAGAAATGTCATGAGTCGTGACGCAGCACCACATCCACCAACAGGGCACAGAATTGGACAGTATCCAAAAAGGACACATCATGGCTGATGACTACTTACAACCGGCACGTGCCTTCCTGGACTGGTTCCGCGCCTGGCCCGGTACCACCTTCCATGACGACATTGAGATTGTGGACCTGCGCGCCCGCGGCGCCGGCCGCGGCATCAGTGAGTCCTCTGCTGTGATTCATTGCTCTTCTCACTCTAACACCTGCAGTCGCCAAGAAAGACATTCCCGTGGATACGGTTCTCTTCACTATCCCTCGCGAGGCCATCATCAGCGCCACAACGTCGGAGCTGGCCACGCTGATCCCGTCCATCGTCCAGGGCGCAGAGAAGGAGGGCGACAATGAGGGCGACGAGGGCGACGAGGGCGACGAGGGCGACGAGGGCGACGACGACAACGACAACGACAGCGGCGCACAAGACCCGTGGACATCTCTCATCCTCATCCTCATTTACGAGTTTCTGCGTGGACCCGCCTCGCCATGGAAACCCTACTTTGACGTCCTGCCGGAAGTCTTTGATACGCCCATGTTCTGGACGGCCGACGAGATCAAGGCGCTGCAGGCCAGTCCCGTCGTGGACCGAGTGGGCCGTGAAGAGGCCGACGAGATGATCCGGACAAAAGTGCTGCCCGTCATCCGTGCCCACAGCAGCATCTTCTTCGGCGAGGGAGTCGCGCCGCTCGACGACGACGCGCTGGTGAAGCTGGCCCACCGCATGGGCAGCACCATTATGGCTTACTCGTTTAGTCTAGAGAAGGACGACGATGAGGACGACGACGAGGACGAAGTGGAAGACGAAGAGAAGCCAAAAGGCGACCACGAGGACGTGGAGATGAAGGACGGAGATGCAGAACCACAAGAACAAGAGCACAAGCACGGCCCCAACTGTGACCACGGCGACGTCTCCGACTCGGACTCAGAAGGCCACGGCTGGGTCGAGGACAAGGACGACCAGCTGCCCCTCGGCATGGTCCCCATGGCCGACATGCTGAATGCCGACGCCGAGTGCAACGCCCACATCAGCCACGGCGTCGACGCCTTGACCGCCACGGCCGTCCGGCCCATCCGCGCGGGCGAAGAGATTCTCAACTACTACGGGCCCCTCTCCAATGGCGAACTCCTCCGCCGCTACGGGTATACCACCGACAAGCACGCCTTTTTCGATGCCGTCGACCTGCCCTGGTTCCTCGTCCAGCTGAACCTGGCGCGCCAGCTCGACCTCTCTGCCAGCGACACGGCCAAGGTCGCCGAGACGATCGATGTCGACGAGTTTGAGGATCCAGTCATGCTCGACCGCGACTTTGACGAGGACGAGACGACGGGCCAGCTGAAGGCGCCCGATGCGGCGGGCACGGTCTTGACCGAACTGCCCCAGACGCTCCGCCGCCAGGCCCGTGCGTTCACCAAGGTCGCCCTCCGCCAGCTGCAGCGCCGCCGCGACAAGGCCCTGGCCGCGTCGAAGAAGCAGACAGGCAAGAACGGCAAGAATGACAAAACACACCCGCCCAAGACCGAAAAGGAGGTCGTAGCCGCGGCTCTGGCGGCTGCTTTTGGCGAGCGGCTGGCCGCGTACCCGACATCCTTGGAGGCGGACGAGGCCCAGTTTGCCGAGACACCCGCCGGCAGCCGCCTGCACTCGGCCCTCCGTGTGCGCATTGGCGAGAAACGGCTGCTTACCGAAGCCTTGGCGCTCGCCAAGGCGGACCTGGCCACCGCCAAAGCCGAGGCCAAGGCCGAAGCCAAGGCAGAAAAGGCGGCCGAGAAGGAGAAGCGGCGTGGCAACGGCGATGACCAGCCGTCTGGCAAGCGGCAGCGGAGAGGCTAGCCCGGTCGTTTTTTTTGCACATATTGTACTTGATAGAGCCGGATAAACAAAAGCCTTCTATTTGATTTCCTTTCCGTTTCTTCGTCCCTACATCCTAGCCAGTCACCCAAACTCCTCAAATTAAAGTAGCCGATGAAAATTCCATGTTCCCGCTATGCACCTGTCCTTGTATCCAATCCATTTCATGCCTTGGGCTTCTTCCGGACCAATCCTGCACTCAGGACATTGACTGCCGGTGCTCCAGTTGGGACCGCCTCTTCCGGCGTGCTCTCCACGTGCTTCTGTTTCTTTCGAACGAGGCCGGCGCTCAGAACGTTGACTGCTCCATTTGCCGTTCCCTTGGTTTGTGGTTCCGCTGCCGTGTCCGCTTTGCTCGGAGCCCGCTTTCTCTTGACCAGGTTGCTCAGGTCCGTGACGCCATTGCTGCTTTGCCCGCTGTGCCCGTCTTGACCGTTTGACGACGCAACAGGTGTCTGGGTACCCACGACGAGCACCCGCCAATCGCCGCTCCCAATCCCCGCTTCGTGCACCCACCGTCGCGTGCTTGCTGCACTCTTTTCGAACGTGCTAAAGTCCAGCTGCAGCAGCAGCTCGTTGATCCGCTTGTAGTCCGACTCGTCCACCAGCAGCCGACCCCGCCCGGCAACGGGCCACCGATAGTAGGCCGTGCTCGTCGGGCGTGCAGCCAATGCGTAGCGCTGCTGCGTTTTGGGGCGGGGCCGTCGGGAGACAATGTAGCCACGGAGGGCCTGCTTCTTCTTTTTCTTTGTTGGGGTCTGTTTGGACGCAGCCGCCGCGCCCTCCTGTCTCGCTGCCGCGGCGACTGACGCCGTCCCCTCGGGCTCAAAGACAATCCATAAGAACCCAGTCAGCCGTCCGCTCGAACACTCTTGCCGAAACGCCATCATCTCCCAGAACTGGTCCAGCGACTTGACGCTCTTCCACTGGCCGTTCCAGCCCCCGTTTTGACCTGTCGCCGTTGTCTTGCCACCACTCTTGTCCTCCTTGCCGCTTGTCCGCTCTGCCTCTTCGTCCAGCTCGTCGAGGTACCGTGCTTTCGGGTCGTCCGGGTACTGCGGGATCAGACAGCGCGGTGGTGGGCGTGGTGCGTCATTGGTCACGTAGTGCGAGATGGACTCGAGTGGGTGGCCGAGGGTCCACTGCTTTTGCTGGTCGGGCCGCCGGGGCAAAAACGCGCGGGTCTCGTACGTGTCCAGACCGGGCACGACCAGGTAGCCCTGGGCGTTCTTCCACCCTTTGGCTTGTGCATCCGTCTCTGTGCCGTTGGCCGCCAACAGTAGCGGGTCCAGTACCCGGCACCACCACTTCACCAGCCCCCGGTCGTCCAAGACATGTTTCCCCGGGTTGTCGACACTGCCCGGGAACAGGTACTGCGACTGCGACCGCGCAAAGAGGCTGATGATCGACGGCACGCCTGCGCGCCGCCGCTGCTCGACCAGAAATGTGAGGAAGACCGACGAGACCGCCCGGATAGGAGACGGTGTTCCCTTTGGTAGGCCCAGCAGGTGGAGATAGCCCGACGAGTCGGCTTTGGCGACGAAGAAGGTGCTGGAGTAAGCCGTCGTGAAAATAAAGATTTCGAGGGCAAAAGCCAAGACTTCTTCGTCGCCATCTATGCTCCCTTTGGGGCCGGGCACGTGTGTGATGGTGACACCGAGGAAGTGGCTCTCGATAAAAGTCCGATCTGGACGCTGGCCGGGCGGTGCGTGGAACAATGCGTTTGTTTTCGTCGGCGGAGTCGAGAGATGATAGATCCCAAAGTTATGTCCAGAAGGCAGCACCGCCGCAAGGCGCGCGGCGAGATCGTCGGTCATGTCGGCGAAGAAAACAAAAAAAGAAGAGAAAAGAGAGTAAAGAGAAAATCGAAAAGAAAGGAGAGAAAATATGCAAGCGCAAACAAGTGTCACATATTAAAAAACAAGCTGTCCGTGAAACATGATGACGAAGTGAAGGAGAATTGAAGGGAAGAAACAGCTTACCGTCGCGTGTCGTTGCTGCCGCGGTCTTTTGTCTCAGCGCGTTAAGTGAATCAAGCCTCAATGTACTTTTTGGGTGCGGACACGCATCGAGAGTACATACAATGCACTAGTACTCTTATGTAGCTTCCTGTTTTGTGCCCCACTTAACTCACTTCAATTCATAGCACGTGACACATCACGCACGTCTCAAGCTCTTTGGCGCTTGTTGGAAAAAAAGTTTCGGCACGCCAAAACCATCAACACTCCAAAAAGCCACGACGAGCTTCAGGCGAACACGACGAGCGGCCACATTTCCTCCCATTGCACACCGTCGCCGACGCCTCTCCACGCCATACATATACTACATATACGCAGCACTCATGTCCTTAACAAGAAGGGCGCTGCAGAGCAGCACGAGCACCTGGCCGGCCGCATCCAGGCCCGGAGTTTGCTGCCGGCGAGCCTTTTCCGCGACGCAGCGTAACAGCAACACAGAGTCTGCGACGCAAGACCCAATACCACGACAGACACAGACGACGACGGACGAGAGCAGCCCACGATGGGCCCACACCCCCGCGCGCATGAAGGCGCCCTTTTCCATCCAGCAGCCCAAGGACCCGCGCCGCTCCGTCTGGGTTGTCAACGAGGACCCGGCCCGCCTCGACCGCATGTACGAAAAGCTGCTGGGCCCACAGCTCGCTCGCAACTTGCCGGACGAGCTCAAGTGGCTGGCCGTCACGCACAAGAGCTTTGACAATGGCCGGCGTGGGTTCAACACGCGGTTGGCGTTTTTCGGTCGCATGATTCTGGCCTCCGAGACAACGCGGGCCATTATGAGCCGGCCGGCGGCGGGGGCTGCTGATGCGGGACAAGCAGATGCAGCGCTTGCGGATCCCTACGGCCGCGAACCGTTCTCGCACCCTGCCCTCGACAACGTGGACAAGCTGAGCACGGCACAGCCGCACGACTACGCGACGCCGGCAAAGCTGACGATGCTGGCGCGCGACGTGGGCCTGCCAGGCGTGGTGCGGTGGAAGCCGCGGATGCCGGACAACCTGGAAGGGTCGGGCATTACGACGGTGATGACGTCGACGCTGTATGCTATTATCGGGGCGGTGGCGCTGCACCACGGCGCGGCGGCGGCGAACCGCATTGTGCAGGAGCGGATCATCAACTACTTGGCGCAGTAGGGAGGGGTTGGGGAGACATCGAGTCCACGTCTAGGGAAGAGCGCTTGCGGCAGGTGGGCAGGCCATATCCATTGTACAAAATCATGGTGTTGAAAACATTGCATGTTGAGTCGTTTTTGTTGTTTGGTAAATTTTATTTCCATTACAAAATATGTACATTAAGTAACAAAGGCTCAAAAAGGAGTGAACAGGAAGGATAAAAGAAAATGGAAACATGATCCAACCGAGGAGACAAAAGAAAGGAGAAAAGAAAAGGAAACATCCCATCGCATCACATATCAAATATGACCCTGCTGCCCAATTGTAGCTGATGACTCGTTCGTCATGGCGCCACCGGTACCCATCTCTCATCGTCGTCCAGGCCGCCCGGCTGCACGGGAAAAGTTGTAACATGCGGCAACCGCTTGTCGCGATCGCTTTCATCATTGAACCGTGCACCGGACTTGTGTGACAGCGTCGTCAGTTTTGTTGTCGCCGTAGATGACGACGTTGATGCCGCCTCGGCCTCCCGGCCAAAGGCAAGGTCCAGCACCTCGAGCGGGCCGTGGCCCACGGTCATCCACCCGGCGCCGCCACTCTGGCTCCGCAGCTCGGCACCCTGGCCCGCCTGGAACCGTCGGAACGTGTACGTGTCCCGACAGTCGACCAGTGCACAGTGTCCGTCGTGCCAGTCGGCCGGCGGCTCGCGCTCGTCATACAGGAAGAGGACGAGCTGGTCGAGGTCGCGGAAGATGTTGCGGCTGTAGATCAGCAGCAAAATACCAGAGCCGGGGTGGCCAATGGAGGAGGCGCACATGGCCAGGCGACGGAGGCCCCTGCCATGCTCATGCCCATGCCCATGCCCGCCCCGCCCGCCAGCACGCACCGTCTGGCTGGCAATGTGCCGCAGCAGCTCGACCGTCTGGGCCACGTTGAACTCGCCCAGCACGGCGAGTGTGTCGGCGTGCGGCGCCAGGTACAGGCGACGATGCAGGTCCAGACGGGCCTCGCCAGCACGCTCGCAGGGCGTGTTGACGGCCAGGCGGATGGTGGCCGAGTAGTGCTCGAGGGCGCAGGCGCGGGCCTCGTACGACACGGCGAGGGCGGCCGGGTTGGCGCTCCAGGACTGCCACTTGGCGAGCGAGGCCGGGCCGGCCGCCCCTGCACTGCCCCGGCCGCCACCGGCGGCATGGTAGTCGTCGGCATAGTGGGACTTGCGGCGGTGAACCTCGACGACCCGGGGCGCAAACGAGAGTTTCCAGATCTTGAGGCGCAGCTCGGTCGGAAGGTCGGGGAACCGGGGAAAGGAGGTGGGCATGGCATGCTCCTCTATCGTCGTTGCGGCCAAACGGCCAGCAATGGTGGTCATGGATGGGACGGCATCGGCCAGCGCAGGCCCCGGCCCGTCTTGCTGTACACCCATGTCAAGCAGGGTGCAAAATAGAGAGGATGTGAGTGAAGATCAGCGATCGACAGGGACGACGCGGCCTGTTGGTCCGTTTCAGAATGTCGAATCCGGGATGCCGGGAACGGGTTTGCAGCCTTTGAATATCAAAGTTTGATGCTGTTGTCGAAGTGTCAAATAGTATATGACGAAGGCCACGGGCCCTCCGCTGAGATGGACAGCGTTCCTGTGGCTGTAGTCTGAGAATGAACGTCTTCAGCTCAACTCTGCCGACCTATATAGCCTCGAGCGCCAAGGTTGCAAGACACCGAGATTGGGAACCCTGCATCTTTTTCTGCGGTAAGAGAGCCCTGATTGCTGTTGCGCGGTCGTATTCCGTCTTTCCTTTCGTGTCGCTGCAATGCGCCGTTCAGGTTGCTGTGCTTGGCACAAAATGGGACTTCTCGCAAATGTTTTGCTGTCACATCAGGGAGGGGGCAGAAATTGGAAATCAATCCTTCCACGCAATTCCCAAAACGGGACAGCACGCAGGGCTGGCACGACGCAGCGTTCCGGTCACTTTTCTTAACATTTGCAGACTGTCGTAGGTGGGTGGGTGGTCTCGTGATGCCATTTGCAGGGCGCGGGCCCCCACAAAGTGTCTCTCCAGGCGCTCGGGTGCTTTAATTTAAGGGTACTATTTTTGTCTCTCAGGTGTCACTCCGGGGGTCTTAGGGGACTTAGGGGTCTGATTTGAGCAGCTAGTCTCCATCTTTCTTTCTTTTTTTCTACTTCACTTCCTATTGTTGTCTCTTCTTTTCAGGATTTCACAGCCTCTTTATTCGGCACCTTCTACATATTCCGATGGTTACGTGTCTTGTTTGTCTCCAACCTCTCCATCCTTCTCCAAGCTCTGTTTACTTTTCGCTCTATTTTTTGTGGCCGCCTCGTACACGCCCAAAGTTGAGATCATTGGTTTTCCGTTCGGCTTTAAATTAGTGGGCCGCTATAGCTCTCCTTAGTGCCCGTAGGGCGTTGCATGGCACCTATAGCGCATTTTTTTACCAACTTTATCAGCTTTTGACACACGTCATTGCGACTGGACCGATGCCAGACGCCCGACGCACTCGCTTCCACAGTCCAAACTTATGGTCTATCCCGTTTTGGGCTCCACATGTTTCTCCGCGCCCATATTCTCCGCCCATGGATTTTTCGGTCTACCTAGCCATGCCCACTTCCCTCAGTCCCTCTCTCTCTCTCCACAGCCCAGCCTCGTTGCCGTCAGCAAATGCCACGGCCTCGTCACCATACGTCCTGACCAAGCGGTAGGGCAACACTTCAATAAAGTCGACGTCGACGCTCAACATTCCCATCAACGATGTCTTCAACTCGGACGTGACGTCGTCCACATCTGTTTTGGCCTCGTCAAACTCGTGCAGTGTCAACCAGCGAGACGGCCTGCCCTTTGGCAGAGTTGACGGAGGGCCAACGCCAGGTGGTGGCGGCGCTTTGTCTCCCCCGATTTCGTTCTCCATCACCACTGCAAAGCGCGTCGAACGCTGCCAGCCCGAAAGGGCGGCCACGTGTGGCATGTAAGCGTTGTGATACCAGCTGGGCGAGGTGGCGTCGCCGGGCGGCTGGTCCTGCTCGCCCTCACCGAGCGCCAAAACCTCCGACAGCAAAAGTGCCCCCGTGGCGCTGCCGCCGCCCGCCCACGACCCGATGTGCCGTGCAAACCGCCCGCGAAACGATGCGAACCGTGCGATCGGGCCACCCTCGGGCAGTGTTTCGTGGTGCAGCGGGATGCCGCGAAAGGCCGCGCTGGCGACAAACGCAAGTGTTGGCAGTTTGTAGACGACGAGGAAAGGGTTGGCGCCAGGCGTAGCTGTCGGCGCCTCCGTCGCGGAGACCGCCTGGTAGCGCCGTGCCATGGGCAGCGGCTGCGATGGGTCGGCATGGATGACGTCGGGGATGTGCACGTCCTCGTACCAGCTGGCAAAGTCGTCGTAGGGAAAGACGGCCTCGTCGTTGGTGTTGGAGCTGATCCAGAAGATGCCAGGGCCGGTAAAGCGACTGTCGGTCATGGTGGACAATTGGCGAGTCGAACGGAAATGTGGAGAGTACCCGTGAATGAAAATATCTGCGAGGACTTTCTTGATGCTCGTAGTCTGGTCCAGAAGCTCGAAAGTGCCGATGATCTTATCGTAAACATCAGGATGATTGGGGAGAGGGAGGGCGCGGCCCATAGTACTCGACGGCTTTTGCCAGCCTTTATCCTGTATCCCGCTCCCAGATTCCCCATTTTATGAAGCTGATTTCCCGTGCCGATGTCGTGTTCAACGGCAGCTTCGATGAACCACGCCTGTTGTGCAATGTGAGATGCAGAGTGCACAGCACTTTCTCACATGCATTGTGTCGGCATGGCAACAAGATGAAATCCATTGAAGGATATTTGATGGCCATCTGTGGTGTTGCGAGTAAACAATATATTTGGAATATATGTGTAGCATAGGAATGTGGCACATTTTACCCTCGAAGCTGTTTTGTTCTGTTCTTTATTTTTAAGTTTGTGTTCTTTTTTTTTCATTTTACTTCGTTTTACTTTATTTTATTTTATTTTTGATGAATATGGCCTACCTAGCCATCACTTGTGTATTTCTACGGTGAGCAGAAACTAGCATTCTTGTGGTTTTTCCGACCAGACGTAGTACGACATGACGAGAAGAGGAACCAAATGTAAGACGCGGCAGGAATAGAACAACGACAGGTATCCGTGACATATGTATCGAAAAGGCAAGCAGAGACAAACTGATGCCTCATTTCTCTGTTTCCCTAGTGCCATCGCCAAGGACGACATAATACACGACCAGCTGCCTATTTAGGCGTGTTTTCAAGGCCGGCGATCGCTAGGGCGGACTTTTGTACCAGGGGGGGAGGATGTTCCTGCCTGAGGGCGACACCATGTCGCCGGGGCGGACAAAACAGGCAAGAGAGAACGTCTTACAGCGCGACCGCGGCTTCTCGTTGGCGCAACTAGCCGACGCCAGTGGGGAGCCTCCCGTTTTAACTGAACGCCGTTGTTTGTTCGGAGCAGCTTGCCCCGGTCCAGTCGCTTTCCTCCTCGGCACTCTTTATTGCTCGCGGCCTGCCTTCTTTGAGTCCAATTCTCCTATCCTTTCCAACCCATCCAACTGGATCGGACTCAACGACTGACCTGCCGGCAAAAATGAAGTTCAACGGCCTCCGTCTGCTTTTCCTATCGGCGGCGACGCCTGCTCTCGCGGCCGTCCTCGCAACCTCAAACCCCGATGACTCGACCAGTCACCAGCACGTCATCGGTGGTGACCACTTCGACAGCGACCGCTTTACTTGTGACCTGCCGCCGCCCGTGGCTCCGCCGGCCAGCGACGGCCTGCCCTCGGCCGACGAGCTGTTCGGGAGTGCCGAGGCTCGCGAGCTCCAGGCGCACCGTCTGGCGGCAGCTGTCCGCGTGCCGAGTGTCAGCTACGACGACATGCAGGACGTCGACGTGGACCCGCGCTGGGTCGTCTTTGCCGACCTGCACCGCGTGTTCGAGGCGCTCTTCCCGGTCGTGCACCGCCGCATGACCGTCACCAAGATCAACCAGTACGGCCTTGTGTTCAGCATCAACGGCTCCGACACGAGCCTGCGACCCATCTTGCTCACGGGCCACCAGGACGTCGTGCCCGTGCCCGACCCGTCTGCCTGGACGCACCCGCCCTTCTCGGGCTACTTCGATGGCACCTGGCTGTGGGGCCGCGGTGCCGCCGACGACAAGAGCAGCGTGACGGCGCTGCTGTCGGTGGCCGAGGCCCTCCTCGCACAAGAGGACTGGACACCGCGTCGCACGCTGATTCTTGCCTTTGGCTTCGACGAAGAGTCGCTGGGCGAGCGCGGTGCAGGTGCGATTAACAAGCACCTGGAGGCCGTGTATGGCCACGACTCGATGGTGCTGCTGCTGGACGAGGGCGGCTCGGGCCTTGATCTGGTCCCGGGCCGCGGTGATGGCGACGAGGACACGCTCTTTGCCTTGCCGGGCGTCGCCGAAAAGGGGCAGATCAACGTCTTCTACGAGCTGCGCACCCGCGGCGGCCACTCGTCCATGCCGCTGCCGCACACGGCCATTGGCATCGCCGCCGAGATCGTGGCTGCCCTCGAGGCGCACGCGTACGCGCCCAAGCTGGTCGAGGGCTCGCCGCTGCACAACAACTACGTGTGCCGCGCGCGCTACTCGCCCGACGCGGACCGCAACGTGACCCGGCTGGTTGCCAACAACGAGCTGGCGGCGCTCGCCGACCTGCTCGCCAGCTACGACCCGATGCTCAAGTTCCGCCTGCAGACGTCGCAGGCTGTGGACATTATCCATGCCGGCCTCAAGATCAACGCCATGCCCGAAAAGGTCGAGATGGGCGTCAACTACCGCGTGGCGCCGCACGAGTCGCTCGACACCGTCAAGCAGCGCACCGTCGAGCTGCTGCAGCCCATTGTCGCCAAGTACAGCATTGCCCTGACGGCCTTTGGCAAGGAGGTCAAGGCGGCGGCTGATACTGACACTGCTGCATCCGTTGTCGGCGCCGACAGCGCGGTCCATGCCCAGTACGACGTCGACTACGACGCCTCGCTCGTTGTGACGGCGCCCATGGAGCTCCCCGTGGCCCCCATTACGCCCACCACCGGCCCTGTCTGGGACCTGTTCTCGGGCACGATCCAGCACACGTTTGCCTTTGACGGCGGCCGTGTCGTGCCGGTGGGCGACATTATGAACGGCAACACGGACACGCGCTCGTACCTGGGCTTGACGCGCAACGTCTTCCGGTGGGAGCCGCTGCGCGCGACGTCGTTCCAGAACATGCACGCCATTGACGAGGCGATGCACATCGACGGCCACATGGAGGCGGTGCGCTTCTACTACAACCTCGTGCGCAACTTTGACGCGGCGGACGTGTAAGGGTGGCGAGTTGTACGTGTTGGGTCATTGCCAGACGGGTGACGTGTGATGGAACATCGTGGCGGATAGATTTCATAATGCGCTGTAGAAGAGTATATGTTGGAATACAAAAGACAAATGGTCAACAAAGGAGTCTATCTTTAAAATGCAAACGTGGTCTACTTCATCAGGTAGGCATCCACGCCAATGCTGCGCAGCCGCTCCGCCTTGTCCGTTACCTGCTGCTCCATGTCCCGCTGGTACGCCTCCATCTTGGCCAGCAGCGACGGTGTAAACGCGCCCAGGATCCGGATCGCCAGCAGCGCCGCATTGGTCGAGTTGTTGATGGCCACGGTCGCCGTCGGCACGCCCCGCGGCATCTGCACAATGCTCAGCAGACTGTCCATGCCGTCCAGGTGCGTCGCCTTGACGGGCACGCCAATGACGGGCAGCGGCGTGTACGCCGCCAGCATGCCGGGCAGGTGGGCGGCGCCGCCGGCGGCCGCGATAATCACCTTGATGCCGCGCGCGGCCGCGTCCGTGGCCACCTGGCCCATCTTGGCCGGCGTGCGGTGCGCCGACGTGATGTCGACCTCCCACGGGACGCCAAACTGGTCGAGGACGTCGATGCCGGCCTTGAGCACAGGCAGGTCCGAGTCGGAGCCCATGGTGACGAGGACCAGCGGGTGGGCGGCGACGCCGGCGGACGGCGCGGACGGCGCAGACGACGCAGACGACACAGGCACAACGGGCGCGTCGGTCGTAGGCGCCGCGGCCGGCCGCAGGGCCTTGGTGGGCGCCTGCAGGCGCTCGTCGCGGATGGCCTGGGACAGGCGGATGAGCGGTGTGGCCGCCTGCTCGAGCTCGGCAATCGACAGGCGCGTGCCCGTCAGCGTAATGTGGCCAATCTTGCGGCTGGGCTTGGCCGCCTTGCCGTACATGTGTACGTAGACGCCGAGGCCGGGGGCAAACGTCGACTGGGCGGCCTCGATCAGCGCGTCGTGCGCATCCGGGGTGGCGCCGCCCAGGACATTGATCATCAGCGCCGACTGCACGTGCGGCTCGAGCGTCGCCGGCAGCGGGCGGTCCAGGATGGCCGTCAGCTGGGCCTTGAACTGCGACATGTAGGGGGTCGACTCGATGGTCAGGTGGCCCGAGTTGTGCGGGCGGGGCGCAATCTCGTTGACGACGACCGCGTCGTCGGCCGTCAAAAACAGCTCGACGGCAAACACGCCGCGGCCCCAGAGCTGGTCGACGACGCGGCACGCCACGTCCTGTGCCTTTTGGGCAACCTGCTGCAGACGCGCCCCCGCCAGCCCGCGCGGCGGCATGTACACGTACGAGCAGATGTTGTCCTCGTGCACCGTCTCGACCACCGGGTACGGCAGCAGCTGCTTGGTCACGCCGGGCGCGCCGTCGTCCTCGGTGCGGATCACCATCACCGACAGCTCCATGACAAACGGCACCCACTTCTCGGCGTAGCACGCCACGTGGCCAAACTCGGCCTCCGCGGCGTCCAGGTCGGCCGCCGTGCCCACCTTGAAGTTGCCGCGCCCGTCGTACGAGTCCTTGCGCGCCTTGAGCATGAACGGGTAGCCAAAGGCGGCCGCCGCCTGCTCCATGGAGGCGCGCATGCCGCGGCCGGTTGCGACGGCCACCTGCTTCGCCACCGGCAGGCCCTTGGACGCCAGGTATTCCTTCTGCTCGTACTTGTTCTGCACCAGCCGCAGCGTCTTCCACGACGGGTGCACCGGGACGGGCGTCGTGCCGGGCGTCGCGCCGTTGGTCGCAATCGCCTCGAGAACGTCCGTGTCAATGTGCTCAATCTCGACCGTCAGCACGTCGCTGTGCGCCGCCAGCGCACGGATCTTGCTGGCGTCCTTGAAGGAGCCGGCCACGTGGTTCTTGTTGCGGTTGATCTGCTTGGCCGGTGCGTCCTCGGCGTCGAGCACGGCCACGGGGATGTTGAGCGGCGCCGCCGCCTCGCACAGCATCTGGCCGAGCTGGCCGCCGCCGAGAAGGCCAATCACAGGGGTCTTGACCATTGCGTGGTCTGTGGTGGACGAGTGGTCGTGTTGCAGTAATGCAAATTGCTGCTGAACGAAAGTTGTGGTCGCAATTCGGTGGGGGCGCAAGTCGTCGGCATTGCTAAAAAAAATGAAAAAGGTCGCTCAGAAAATTATGATGTGAAGCTCCGTTGTAAGTCGTCGATGCGGGTCACCACTAGCGCCGTAATCGGTTGTATTAGTGGGCAAAGGCTGGTCACGTGCAGCTAAACTAAATAAATGGCCGTAATTAAATAACTAAATAACGTTCACCTTGTGTCTTGCATCCTTGCTCGTGCAACACATGTACTGTAATTGTGCCTCCATATTACGTTTCAGAATATCTTTTTCGTGTTGTTGTACATTATATATTACGGTAGTATGATACCGGGCAAATCGAGGTCGATCAGCCATGGTAGGTAGAAGGGCTCTTCTTCATCGCCCTTGATAGAAGCGTTGACAAAGAGGGTATGCGTCCGCGATGCTGCGTCGAGAGCGAGGTCGCCGCCAGCCACATGGCTTGTCGGTCGGCATCCTTGCTCTGCAAATGCAGCCAGGCGCTGGGCTTTGGTCGCGGCCGTCGCATCGTCGTCCAGCTTGCCGCGCCGGACACTCTGTAGCGTATCGAGCACCGTGGATCGGCCGTGGTCGATGGCCGTAAAATGGGATGCTGTACTGGCATTCGTCGCTTCTGCCTCCCGCCAGGCCACAAGCTTGGCGCCCCAGCCGGCATGCACGTGCCCGAAGCAGTGCAGCAGCGGCCGGGCGCGTGCCACGGCTCGGAAGAGCTCCTGCAGGCCACCTCGTTTCTGCGATGTCATGCGGTCCAGCACGCCCTGGGGCGGGCTGTGCGTCAGAACAATGTCGGTGCCGGCGGCAATGGCAATACCGTGTGCGTCCTCGGGACGGTACTGGAAGCCCCAAGCGGCGTCGAGTGAGTACGTGTAGGGGTTGGCATATACCGTCAGCGAGGCGCCGTTGGCGAGTGTAAAGTGGTGTGTGCCCTCATCGAGTAAGTGGATGTTGTGTGACGCACGCGCGTCTTCAAAGAGCTGGCGCGCCTCGCCATCGCGGCCATATTCCCGAGCCACAAGGTCGGGTTCCGCCGTCAGTCCGGCCTCAGACACCTTGCGGTGGAAGGCGGGTAGATCGAGAGTAAAGTCGTGGTTACCGGCGATTACCAGAGTGAGCGATGCGCCGAGGTCTTTGAGAAGGCCGAGCGTCGTCTGGAACTCGACCATCTTCGACTCTTCGGTCAGGTCGCCGCAGTGGATGACCACATCGGCGCCCTTCGGTGGTTGGCGTCCAGGCGGGTAGCGTTCTCCGTGTGTGTCTGAAAGGACTAAAATTTTTGTCTTGATGTGCGCCATGCCAAACAACTGCAGAGGCTGACGCCTTCTGTCGTATTGATGAAGACGAGTCACAAGAAGGTTTAAAGTATGAGTGCTTGGTGGCTTGCCATGTTATGTAATGCAAGACTAGCGAACGAAACTTGACGGAGAAACAAGGTTCACAGAACGCGACCATATGCATATCGCTCCTTAGCGTATTGAAAACGACCATAAAACGAATGCTCGATTACGAAAGCAACAAGTCACGTAAAATGGGATGTAGAGTCGCAATTGTACCAAAGTGATTACAGAGAAAGATCTAGTCAGCAAGGCAAATTTGTGCTCCAACAACCAGATGAAGAACAGTCAGCATCGCACGTTCATGTCAACCAGCGCAAGAGACGAACATCATTCGAGCCGTATAAAATTACGGGGAATCTGAAGCCAAGATTTTGTTTGGCCCCGTTCCTATGGTATCAACACACAGCCGGACGCCGTATGTTAAATGCCCCGGTTCCGTCCACGGTTCCACCGAGCTGCCCCAGCCGACCGTGATCAGTATCGTGGAAACCGGCCAAAAGCGTCTGTCGTCTGTCTGCCAGCTGGTGCCAGCTACCGTGCTGGAAGAGGAAGCGATGTTGGGGCGCCTAACTCATTTTTTTTTTCTTCAGCGAGAAGCTGGCATGAAGTCGGCAGCGGTGTCTGGCATAACGGCAACTTCTCGTGCCAGGTCTGCTCGGGGGACAGTCTATTCCGGAGGCCGGCAGACGGCGTAAACAGTCGACCCGAAAGTTAGTGAGTCTGCCTGGCCCGCCTGGTCCGCCGCGGGACATTTACTCAGTGATTACTCCTTCGATTTCTTCTCGCGCATTCACACCCGCTGACAATGGCGGAAGCGGAATACCGCGGTGATTTGATCCTTGTAGTTCCGCTTCCACAAGACAGCGGAATCACCTTGGCACCGCCAGAACGCCTTGCAAAAGGGGCCACAATCAAAAGACATGCCAAGTACGAACAAGAATCGGTGCATGCATCGCACATGCTCAAAGGTACCAGACACACGTGGAGGGCTGTGAGGGCTGTGCGACATACAGCTGCCTAGACTTCTCCGCCAGGGGCAAGGCGAAATCTTTCGCCGAAAAAGATGAGGCTCTTATTGCCAATGCGGCATCAGAAAAATATCTCATTTCCTATTTTGGTATTAAGTCACGATGTACGAAGTACGGTGCTGCATTCCAGGTAACAATTTACCCGCAGTTCGTTTGTTGACATTCTGCGCAGGGCGTCAACACTGTTTGTTGATTGGCCGTGGAACGAAGGAACGAAAGGACGAGAGAACGAAAGGACAGGGGAGACGGGAGATGGATCGAGAATAACGCAGGTGAGACGCAAACATAACGTTCAGTGAAATGAATTGACGAACACCGCGAGGGAGAAAAACAAAAATACATCCAGGAACAAATTCCCAGAAAAATACTCGTTGGCGCCAAGACGACGGACTGTGCGGCAGCGAGGCAGAGAAGCGAGAAAAGAATGGGGAAACCTGCTTGCACATTGGCCGAAAGCGCCCCAGAAAGACAACCCGTGCATATTCCGCCAGTCATTCCGCAGCGTCCGTCCACACTGCCGCCAAGCTGGCTCGACCCCGGCAGTCAACGTCTTTGTTAATTTCCCAGCATGCACCTGAAATTTGGGCGTTGTCTCTGTCTATTTATTTTTATTCGTTACTCCGTTCTATCCCACCTCCTTCAGTCCTGAGCTTCTTTCCTATCGTGCCTGTTCAAATGCTTTTCGCTTGTTGAGGCGATCCAATTTCTGGAATTCAAAAGTAGTTGTGCAGTCGTGGCATGCCATCTCTAAAGTCCCTCTGTTTAGGCTTCTCACGCCCACAGTTTCTTCTCCACAACGTATGGAACTCCTATTCTGGCTATTTGGCAATTTCTTTATTTTGGGTAGGCGGTAGTTTCAGCCCACTCAGCCCTCTGCAGGGCTGGCCCATATTAATTTCGACGTCGGACGGGGATTTTCACAGGCTTTTGCATGTTTTTGCCTGCCCCATACCCTTGACCCTTTTCTCCTTTTCATGTTCCGTACAAAGTACATGTACATCAATAGCACGTATTTCGCTTGTGTTTGTTTAGCGCCGCTCATAGCGGTAATTACTAGTCAACTGCCGCACTGCAACACGTCGTATGGAAAGGTGAGATCAGACTTAGGTTGCGGCATTGTCTCTTGGGGGTGTCATTGAAGCCGACGGAAGGTCTACATTGCATCATGTCGTCGGACATGTCATTAGAGTGAGATGGACAAGTCAAGTCAAGAAAACACAGTTATCTTGTGGTAGGTAAACCAAGCCCAATTCGTGCCCGGACGACGCCGACCCTTTTCCCTTGGACGTGTTCTCACTCTTGCTGGCAACCCCTGTCCTGCTTGCCTGTGACTCTGTGGCGTTTTGGATCCAATCATTGCACCTAGCGAACAGGGCGCCTCGACTTGCGAATCCCGATGGTGTGCGGTTGCGAGGGAACAACTGTCTTGTCGTGTTGTTCCGCACCCCTTGTCCTAGGACATACTGAAGGAAAAGAATAATCAAAACTGTACAAATCAAAACTGGCAGGGAAGAAGTCGCCAGGAATTGTATTTGCACGCTCGTTGTAAGGAAAACTACGACGTATTTTGTTTTCGTTCATTTTACTTCTTTTTTTTCTTCAATATCTTCCTTGTCATTCATGAAATCCAAACCACACAATCTCTATTTGTGCATTTTCTCGTAAAAGAACTGCCTCGATGCAAAATGCGTCTGGTGGGCCTGGACTAACACCAACACCGGATGGGGCTCCACCCGGCATTGTTAGGACAAGGCGCATTTTTTACTTCATCACGAGGAGAAGCACAACGGCAGGCTTTGTAAGGACCGCTACCCTTTGACTTTTATTGAACCTGCCTAGCGCACGACCCTGAGAAGACTGGAGACTGGAGACTGAAGTACGGCTGAAACTGGGATATGATCTGGCATGAAAACCGTCTCGCTAGGCAGAGGATGTTCATTGGTCCGTGGTATCGGCTTGTCGTTGGTCCATGAAAGAAAAGGGATAGCAAGAGAAACAGCAAAAGAAAAGATGGGACAGGCTAACGTGCCTGGAGACGGGGAAAGAATCAGGTACGTTGGGCTTGGGCTGCATGGGCGCGGCTTGCATGGTATCTGGGACATCGGCCTGGGGTCCAAGACAACGATGTGCCCACATGCTCCGTGTTGTCATGTCTGTGGCTTGCAGTGTGCAATCTCTCCCCGTATTGGCATCCTGCCAGGGCGTTCTTGCTGTGTCTCGAACGAGGCCCAAGAAGGCATAAATACCTGTCCAGCCCATCCCAGCCTGTTGGGTTGTCTCTCGTGTTCCCCTTCTTCTTCTTCGTCCAACCACTTCTCGTCGCTCTTTTCCCATTTCTCTTCAACGATACGTATTTTTGACACCCAATTTTACTCGTCTCTACTCGCCACCTCTTAATACCCTTTTCTCTTCCGCGTCACCAACCTCACCACCAACAAAATGGCTGTCAACGACAAGGACGTCGAACAGTGGAAGCAGCGCTTCAACGATGTCCTGGCTCGCCCTGCCGACCACATCAACCAGCGGTCGCCCGACGGCGCCCAGTCCTGGAGCGAGGCCTTCTTCGGCTGCTGCAGCCCCATCGACCTGTGCCTCATTACGTACTGCCTGCCCTGCGTCACCTTTGGCAAGACCCATCACCGTCTCCACAAGGATGGTTCTCTCCAGGGCTACGAGCCCATCAACACGTCGGTATGTCGGCCCAGTTGGCAGACGAATGCCTCTCTCGCTCACTCTCATTTTCAAAACTGACCTGACAACACAGTGCCTCCTGCTTTGCGGCAGTGCCTGCTTCGGTCTGCACTGGATCCCCATGTCCCTGCAGCGCGCCGACATTCGCTCCAAGTACAACCTCGAGGGCAACTGCATCGTCGACATTGCCGCCTCGTGCTGCTGTGCGCTCTGCGTGTTGACCCAGGACGAGAAGGAGGTCACGGCCCGCGACGCCGCTGGCCAGGGCAACGCTGGTGTCAAGCAGCAGTACCAGCCCGACGGCGGCATGGCCTACCCGGCGGCCGCGCCCGCTGCGGCTCCGGCTGCGGCTCCGGCTCCCCAGTAAATATCTTGCCTGTCGCTTTGCCATTGGGATGTGATGCCCCGTGCACCACAATTAATTTGATACCACTTTGCAAACGGGGACGTGTGGAATGAGATCTCTCTGTTTTAGCTTTTGGATTTTGCATCTTTCTTGCGGACGGTTTTCTCTTCCCTTTTCTCTCGGTCTTTTCTTTTCTTAAACTCTGAAGACGATGCTCTTTTCGCCTATCCTATCCTTTACATAAAACACTCCAGAGCCTCAGACGCCCTGCAAATACGTCGGACCGACCAAAATACTATTTCTTTGTTTCTCTAACCCGCTCTTCTCCAAAAAAAAAAATAATAAAACAAAACAGAAAAGCTTTCTCATTTCATGCCAACAACGATCGACCACACTCTGGGGATCGCCTGCTGGTCAAAATAAGCAACGGCTGAATCTAATAGTTAGTTATTCAATATTGAGACATCTGACCTCCCATTGCTGCCGCGTTTTTGTGTCTTGTGGTCTGGCTCTAGCTCTGCGCCGACGTTTCTGTTGGTTTCGTGGCATGGGGGCCCACAACAAAAACAAAACGCCCTTGATTTGGTGTGGCACGAAAATAGTGTCCAAGAAAACAAAAACGGTTTATCGGTGTCTGGCCCGCCAAGCTGCGGCTGAAAGTGGACGTTGCTTGTTTGGGTCTACGGCAAATTCATGGGGCTGATAGCAAATGGGGGGCGGTCGAGTCAGGCGCCGTCGCCCTGTCGTCGTTTTGGGCTGGCAAGTTTGTGTGAAAAGAGAGCATCGCAATGAAAGGGAGGGAAGGACAACACCGCGATTGGGCGAGCCACGGCCCTATCGTACGGACGACACATGCCGTGGGCTGAGTCGCTTTTGGCGCCCTCCCCTCGACGAGCAATGATAGCCGTTGCTGCTTTCGGCTACCTTGGCGAAACAAGAGAGCTTGGTCCACGTACCGTGTTCGAAGAAGATCGGCGCATTGTTTGCCTTGCGTTGTTCTGTGCGTTGTTTGGACCGTTGAATTTCGTGGCTTGTTTAGGCCGGTCTATGTTTCTATGTCGTCGCATTGGCTTGAACACAGGTTGTTTTCCTGTTATTTTCTTTTATCAATTAGTTGCGTAATCTCCCACATTGTTATGGCTCCGCAAATGCCGCCCGGCCAGCTCTGCATTGTACGAAATAAGGTCCGTGGTGAGACTTTCCTGTAAGCCTTTGCATTTCTGTATGTCGTTCTCCGTCGGAATTTAGGTTAAGCTTTGGCGCTCTCGTTTCAGGAGACGCGCAAGCGGACTCTTCATCATTTGCTTGGTATATGTCACGATGCAGAAAAAAGAGAAGACGGAATTGTGTCCTTTGGAAAATCTTTGGGCTGTCGCAAAGCTTTCAAAATTTGATAGCAAGAAAGAAGAGTGGTATTGTAAACGATAAAACATATAAAGCAACACCGTCAACAATCATAATCTACCACCACTTCCACCAGGATCGACTCGCTTTTGTAGCTGCTGCTGCCGCATCACGATCGTCCAACCACGCGGGCAGCTCCGACAGACTCGTTAGCCAGCCGACATGCTCGACATGTCCATCCGGGCGCACCAGCGCGTAACCTGGCCGACTGCCAAACCCGTAGCGACCGTGCAGGTAGGCATCCTTGTCGATCAGCACATTCCGCTGCTCCTGCTCGACAAGCGCCTGGGCCTGCGCGGACGAGCCGGCAACAATGTGTGCGACGGTAGCGTCGAGACCGGCCGGAACAAGGGTCGTGGCCGCATTTTCTGCTGCGGTGACAAGAGCCTTGGTTGTGGCGGACGCTGTCGCGGCCCTGGACGCAGCCGAGGAAAACCACGACGACGACGGCGGCGTGCCCGTAAACAGCAGCAAGTGGTACGACGTGATGCCCCGGCCGCCCTGCCAGAGGTGTTCGAGGAGATGTGACACGTCGTCCGTCGCAGCACCGGCCGCAACGACTTTACCGTCGGGCGCCCGGTCGCCGCCGCGGACCACGCCCGTCCAGCCCGGCGACACGCTCACTACGGGACTCCGCCGGTAGCGCACGCGCAGCTGGTTCATAGAGCCAATGATGCGTTCACGGCGGCGACGGGCGCACAGGACGAGCGGCATGATCCAGCGGACGACGTTGTTGCGCAGCCAGACGTAAAAGGGTGTGGCTGTGGTGGCGGCCACGAACATGGTGTCGGTTGTTTTAAGCAGCGTCACGCCGACGGGCCGCCGCTCGGCATTGTACGACGACAGGAGAGCGTCCGTCTGGCCCGGCGTGCCTGCCGTGGTGGTGGCGCGACCGGAACGCGCAGCACGTACGGCGACCGCGAGCTTCCAGCCCAGGTTCGCGGCGTCGCCCAGCCCCGTGTTCATGCCCTGGCCGCCCGCCGGGCTGTGGATGTGCGCCGCATCGCCGGCCAACAGCAGCCGGCCCGAGCGATAGGCGGCGGCGACGCGGTGGTGCAGCCGGAACGCCGTGACCCAGATCGGGTCGCACAGCTGGGGCATGTTGTCCCCGTGGAAATGCGCCGTGTCGGCAAAGAACCGCTGGAACGTCTCGAGCGTCGGCTGTTCCTGCTGCGCGCGGGCCTCGGCCGAGGCATCGGCGGGCAGGGGGTGGCAGGCAATGAGGCGGACAATGCCCTTGGCCTCGGCGTACGGCAGCAGCGCCATGAAGCCCTTGTCCCAGAACATTTGTGCGCGGCCCGGCGTTCGGCCGGGCCAGTTGCGGATGTGGGCGTCGCAGAGCATAAAGGACTGTTCGTAGGCATCGCCTTCAAAGGCAATGTTGGCGGCGTGGCGCACGCTGCTGTGCGCGCCGTCGCAGCCGACGACGTACCGGCACCGCAGCTTTTCGGTGGTGCCCTGGGCGCCCTCGCCGCCGGCCTCGACGCCCTCGCCGCCCTCGTTGTCGTGCACGAGCTCGAAATTCACACCGTCCTCGTCAGCCACAATCGACCGGATCGTGGCCGGCCGTTCAATGCCACGGTGGCCGGGCCCCAGCTGGGCGAGGAGGTGCGCCTCCAGCAGGTCTTCTGTGTCGGTCTGCGACGCCAGCAGCGTCTCCGAAAACGCCGTGTCTTTGAAGTCAAAGTCGCGCATGTTGAGCGACGCCGCGCGGCGGCCACACACGTGGATGTCGATGCCCTCGCCAAGGGTACCGCGCGCCACGAGAGCGCGGCCGAGACCGTGGCGCTCCAGCAGCTCGAGGCCGCGGCTCTGCACGACAAGGGCGCGGCTCTTGTCGGAGCGGACGGGGGCCTTGTCGATGATGCGCAGCGACACGCCGAACGCGGTGAGCTCGGTGGCGAGCATGAGGCCCGTGGGGCCGGCGCCGACGATGAGGACGTCGATATCGTATGACATGGTGCGGTGGTGAGGGAGAGCGAGAAGAAAGGGGGTGGATGCTGATGTGAAGTCCTATTAAGGTAGAGTAGAATGACAGGAAAGGAAAGAACGCATTTAAGAGTTAAAAGTTGCGGAAAGAACGATGTACGGCGCGTCTGTCGACGGCCGGCAATTTGGACGGCGCGAGGCCGGTCGCACCTGCCCTTTCGTGGTCGGCCTAGTTACCAACGTCATGTCTGCCTTGCTGTCCACTCTAAAGTGCACTTTGAGGAACGTGTTCTACGACATGGAAGAACCATTGTCCCGTCTCGTAATGAACATTTCTTATTGTGTAGAACGTAATAGGTCAGCAAGATGGATGTCAAGTAATATGTTTGTGTTGGGGGAGGGTAAGGAGCGGGGTCAATGTATTGTTCACGTGGAATTTAGATATTTCGCTTCATTTTTCTTTCTTTTCTTTTCCAAATTTTATTAAAAAAATAAGAGAAAAAATACAATACGAGGCCAAATGAATCACGAAAATCGAATGCTGTGATACGATGATTCACGGAGTTTGTTGGACATCCAACAACGTATTCAGCGTCCGGATCGTACTCTAACTACGACAATCTGGACGTACAAAATCGGCGGTTGTTTCGCGCGAGCTCCGATCTTCACCTTGAAGGCCCCAAGGCGCTTTAGCTCTGGGGGCAGCTTCAGCCTTGTTTTTGTTTTTCCGTGTCAGCATTAGCCACAAGGCGGGCGTTATTAGTCCGATCGGAATCGTTATTCGCATACATCGTAAGTTTCGCTGGCCAGCGATCGGGACCGAGGCTTTATTTTCTTTCTTGGCAACGTCCAGCAATGTGGTCATTCCCAGATCGAGAAAGAATACAACAACCAAGGCCGAGAAGTCTCCGTAATCTGAATATTTGGAAAGTGAGTTGTATTTACAAGTTGTATTTACAGCTTGCGTAGGTAGCTCCTGGATTAGTCTGTGGATTTACAGCCTGTAAGAATTATTGCTACTTGGTGAACGAAAAGCCAAAGACAAACTGTGAAAGCTCTGCCCTACGAGGGAGACGCGCACGGCATTCGAGTTTTAACTTACTGAAAAAGGTACCAAGGTGACTGGAGCCTCACTTTGCACCAGACGAGGACCAAATGGCTGTTTAGCCCCTAACACTTTTACCTCTTCATTTAAGCTTAAAGCGGTTTGGGCCACCGGATTGCGGCTAACTTGGCGTGGTTATTTTATGTGGCATTATTGACAGGTATTTCTGTGTCAATATTCTTCTCCTTCATTCTTCATAGATCTTGCTCGAAGAGAGCTCATTGGTCCGTTTCATTGTCCTAGTCAGGTTCTTATGCCAACTAAACAGCCATCGCAGGTCAAATTGGAGGAGGATTGTTTGAGAGGTGCAGTCCGTGCTCCGTTGACAAATGCAAACCAGCAATCTGCAACATGGTGATGAAATCCTCTGTCTTGGGAATGTAAATGGGGAAAAAAAACCCGTCGCAATTCCTCATCTCGCAGTCTGGTAGTGGTCCGAAGGATTCATTGCCAAACGGGACTTTAACCCCTGAAGAGTTGCAGGTGAGGTAAAATACATTGTAATTGGCCCTCGAGACAGATTCAGGGATCATCGCAATCCTTCGTCCCCCAACCCATTAATTTTGATCCTCCACATCAACTTGCATCTTGAAAAACGTCAATTCTATGCAAACCAGACGCAAACCAAATGCAACAATATTTCTGGTGCATTTTGCTTGCCCCTGAGCCCCTCTCCCTTTCTCCAGGTCCTTACATCTCTCCTCTCATCCAGGTGTTGCAGGTAAAATGCATCACAGCCATTGTCCTCCACTGTTCCTCCATTTGCAAGTCACGGTGCCGTCTCCTTTGAATCCTTCTGCCCATCCCAGCCAATAACAGCCACTCGCGTCTGCCAGGGCGATCCTCCCGCCGCTGCAGGGGTTCCGCTTCAATCATGACTTTTCCTCTCCTATCCACTCCTTCTTCCAACTCTTGTTCCTGGTTGAGTACGGAGTACGTTTACATGTACGCTCGGCCAACTTTGTCCACTGCTCTGCACACTGCACAATCTGCGCCTCCTTTTGCATCTGACTTGTCTCCCTGTCTTCAGTCACTCTCTTCTGCACTCTTCGTCTCCAGTCGCCTCCACTTGATGTCGCAGGGCGCGTTGATCCTTGTTTCCCCTGCCCAATCTCCAATGGCAGCTTTGGCTCCGGTTTGGTTCCGTTTCTTTCGTGTGGGACATGCATCATGAACAAGCCGTGGCCAGCATGGCATAGCGGAGACTTAAAGTGGAGAGCCGAGGCGACAACGTGGGTCCTGCAAACCATCACCTCTACGATGTATGGATGCCAAGGCCAGAACGGCTCAACGGCTCTTGGATCCCAGGATGCGTAACCGCCGTATAGGCCTCTCTGCCATGCTTTGCCATACTCTGTTCTCTGTTTGATTAAAGTTGGGCCCTATTCCCTGCCGTCACTGTCAATCATTGACCGGACTCCATGTCCGTTTTGTCCGTTAACTCCCCCGTCTGTTCCTCATCTGTGTCTTGTGTGGTCGGAGTCTTGTTTCCTTTCCCTTATATCTGCTCCCTTTTTTTTTTTTTTTTGTTGAACTCTACCCCAGTGGTCTGTCTCTTTGTTCCTTCTCTCTTCTCTGTTATTTTGTTGACATCGCGGATTGTCCACCAATACGCGGCGCATCGAATCGAGAGTAGTAAAGCCGTATTTTTTCAGCCTCACAATAGTATCGGCCCGTCAACCGTTGTTTACACTATCAAATTCGGCTCTTGGCAATGTCCATCGCCCGCTAACCGGTTCTCGTGTGTCGTGTCACGCTCTTTTCGCCTTTCATCTAGCGTCTGTCGTCAACGGCATCGATTGGACCCTTTGTTTGCTTCTGCCCTTCCGTTTGTGTTGTTCGTCGCCGACGCCTCTCTCCGACTCCTCTCACGCAATGGCTCGTCTTCGGATACCGTCAAGGCATGCTGCCATCGCTGCCACCGTCCTCGTATTCCTTCATCTCGCCTCGTCGGCTGCCGCTGCTGGTGCCGCCTCGAAGCGCACCTGCTACTTTCCCGACGGCTCCATCTCGTCCGCCGATTATCCCTGCGCCGACTCTGGCACCACCCACTGCTGCAACTCCGGAAGCGCCTGCTTGTCCACGGGCTACTGCATGAGTGCCGAGAAGTCCCCGTACTTGATTTCGCGCGGCAGCTGCACCGACAACGCCTGGGGTCCGGGCTGCCCGGCCAAGTGTGCCGGCGTCAACGACAATCCCAAGGGCGGACTGCCCATCAGCTGGACGGGCACGTCCAACAATGCCGGGTCGCCGCTGTACTGCTGCGGACCCCTGGTCGTCAAGAATGGCAACATTGCGTGCGCCAACAACGAAGACATGTTTGTGCTGGGCGCGTCGGAGCTCATGTTTGGCGTCGCCATCCTGGCCAACACCACGCAGACCAATGGGGCGTCGACATCGTCGAGCAGCAGCGTGCCGGCCGCCTCTGCCTCGGACGCGGCGTCTTGCTCGTCCGCTGCCTCGCCCGACACCTCGGGCGGCTCCTCGTCGAATGCAAAGTCTTCATCGTCCAACGTCACGGCCGTCGGCGCCGGTGTGGGCGTCTCGCTGGGTGTCGTGGCCATCGCGTTTGCGACCTGGGCGCTGTACGAGCGCCGCAAACGCCACCAGCAGCTGCAGGCACTTATGAACGGCACCGTGCCGCCCGGCATGGCCATGGCACAACCTGTCCAGAACGCTGGCGGTCCAGGCGGTCCAGGCGGCGGTGCAGTGGGTGGCTACGGCGATATGACACACATGAACAACTCGGGCACACCCTTTTCTCCGCACAGCACGACGGGGGGCACGCCAATGTCCAACTCGCCCGCCAACGGCGGCCTTGCCGGTGGCTATGCCGTCAACAGCAGCGGCACCAAGTCGTATTCTGACGGGCAGCAGCCACTCGTTGAGCTGTCTGCATACCCGCGGCAGGTTGAGGAGCTGCCGGCCCACGATGAGCGCTAGAACGGACGTGTTTGTGTTCGTCTCGTCTCCTTTTTTCTTTTCCTTTTTTTTTTTCTTTTCCTTTTTTTTCTGTTCTTCATACAGTGTTGATTTCCTTGCCATAAAAGCGAAGAAGCGCTGCTGTTTCTTCCCGTCTTGGAAGGTGTAACTCATATTCCTTTTTGTCGAATTGTGTATATATCACTCTGCCTACATGCTCTTGCTTTCACTTGCAGCTTACGCTGTTAACTGACTCGACATCCTTTGAATGTATCTTCTTCTAGCCGTTTGGTGGCAGACGCCGATTGTGTTGACAAGTGGTGTTTCCGTCTCTCTGTCAGTTTTTTTTTCTCGGCGGCTATTGATCATCGACCTTGGCCGACAAGTCCGGCCAGTGCATGCATTTTTTCTCGAAGGACCTGAACAAATTGCTTTCTTGCCAATCGCCTACAGATTGGCCGTCACAAGAGACCCGTCGGGCTGCAGTGGCCGGGCCAGCTGGTTTTGACGTCAACCCCAAGGCCGTGCTGCTGGGTCGGCGGTTGTTGCGACAAACAGCGTTCGGCGGCCTGTGCTTTTTGCAATGCCCTCTGTCTGCATGGATTCTTACACTGGTCGTCTTGTCGTATCATTAGACGCGCTCAAACAGCCGCACAAAGACATCACAGCCACTGCTGGCCCCTGCATCGATGGTGAAACGGCGACCCAAGGCGAGGCCCAAGGAAGAAGGACTGAGGCAAGGCAAGCGTAAAGAACACGACACGAAGTCAATTTTCGTAAAAAGAAAATAAAAGAAGAAAAATAACCTTGAAGAAAAAAGTGAAAGCAAGAACGGGCAAATTGTTTTGACAGGTGTATTTTTTGTCGCGCGCTGGACAGCGGGTCGACTGCCCCGAAACTGGAGAAGCCGTAGTTTGCGAGCCATCATGTGAAAGCCACATTTGTTCGCCGCGCATGATCGAAGGATCACCTCCCTGTCCCCAAGCACCTCTTCACCTTGACACAGCCACAGTGTGTGCGAGTGTTTTCTCCTTTTGGAATGCCCACGAAACAGAACGGAGGACGACGTTCTCAGGCGAAAGTGTGTGGCCTGAGCCACAAACCGCGAGGCCAACCACGCAACACGACAGAAGACGGGGTCCGGCTCGGGAGACTAGGTTGCTTTGGGACAGGGAGGAGGCTGAAGATGGAGTTCGCTGCTCTTCTCCCCACAGGGCAATGCAACGCTGTGCTCACTTTGACCGGACGCCTTGAAAGCCAGGCGCAAAGGAGGTGGATCGATGCTCTTGCACACAGGACTTTCCTGAGGCAGTCCTGCATGTAATTATGTCAGCGGACTGACGTAGAATTTTTTTTTTTTTTTTTGGTTCCATGTCTCCACCAATTCTGAAAATCTGCCTCGCAGGGCTGGCCCGCCCCTGTCGCTTGTTTGCATCTGGACATCGCCGACGGCGGGGCTCAACCTGACGAAACTCTTTGCGTTTCTTTCTCTTTTTGTTTTCAACCGCCAACACTCATTTGTTTCTCAGAGTGTCTCTTGTCTCTTGGCATCGGTTGCCTGTCGGCTGTCGTCTGTCTTCCGTCCTGTTCTTTACACGTTTCTTGATTTGAGACACTGTCCGACAGTATTGTTACGCCCTTTGACAAGGCACGGCGTTCTGCCCAATGTGCACATCCATGTGCGACGCAGACCAATGACTTTCGTGTTGTACCTGCGCCTGCATCTCTGCACCTATGAACCATGCAATCCATCCACGCGCTTTTCCTGTCGTCATTGCCTGTGCATCCTGTCTTGTCATTTGTTTGGCGGCATCCTTGATGACGACGCCTCGCCATGTTGCATGGAAAGCTGTACTTGGCGAACTGGACACTGTCGTGTTTACGATTCAGGACCCTACTTATTTTTTTTTTCGCCTCTCATGGGCAGCCTTGCAGATGCTCCCCCGTCCCACATCTTGCCAACATCACATGTCCTTGATGTGTCTCTGGCTCAGGGTAGCGTTTCATTTCTGGCTTTTGTGCGTGAGATTTGTTGGGGATGTTCCGCCTCAGAGTACCCCTCCACGAACAATTGCATCATGACACCGATGACACCGACGATCGCAAGGTGAAGCATCGTCGCCCGTTCATTGGACAGTATCTGGTTGCCTCGATGTTTGGAGGGTTTTTATTTCGTTGCCTAAGTCAGCAAGGGCCCCCGGTAAAGAGGACAACATGCACAGTTTGGGAACACAGACGACAGGGGAGGATGCAGACGCCATTGAGCTAGGTCTGGACCGATGGCCTTCCCGCAAGGTAAACATTGACAAGGGAGGGCCAGAAGGCACGGTCCAAGATCAAAACGGGAGGGTATGTGTGGAGTGTGGAATGCGATAGACAAGACTGGCAGACAGAAGACACTTGCAGAGGCTTGTTGGGTCAATGCGCCAGACAGCAGGGGCAGGATCGAAAGAGGGAGATGCTGTTGAGCAGGGGGTTCCAGGATCGGGAGGACCCTCTTCGTTGTCTCTTCCGACTCGACCCCTAGCCTTGGTGGCCAAATGCAAGAGACAGAGACAGAGAGGTTCTTCACCCTGCAGGACAGAATGGACAGAGGACAGAGTGGTTGACGGGGTGTGTGGTAGGATTATGACGTCTTCTGGCGTCGAGGCCAACTCCGGGGTTTTTTTTTCATTTTCCAACGTCCGTTTGTCTCTCATGGAACACTAAAGTCATGCGGGACCAAATGGCGGCCTCTTCTGCAACTGAAAGGTCGTCAGGCTGTCCAAACAGATCGTTTCGGTGGAGGAACTTGGAGAAAATAAAAATTTCAATTAATAGACTAAAAAAGCAAAGACGAGCAAACCGAAGATAAAACACGAGGTGACGATGGAGTCTAACGAGGAATACGTAGGACTGGGTGCGCTCATTTTGTTGACTAGTCAATAGGCAACGTCAAAATCAGGGTCATGGACCCAAAACCAGGCAAGTCGAAAAGATCCGATGGCAATTCAAGGTCAGGTGTAATCACACGATTCTCAAGTCCTCCGCCTCCCTGCCGCGACGTGTTGCACCTTGGTTCTTAGACCCCCCTGAATTGTCGTCACAACTGCAGCTGTTGCTGCAGCTGCATCTCCGATCGGAAATCATGCTGTAGAAGAAACGGATTGTGCGCAGGTTGGTTGCGCAGTGTACAATACCCTCACCTTACAGGTCCCCCACCTTTATTTACCCTTTTGCCTTTTTTCGCCCCCATTCGACTTACACGCCTTTGCCGCGCCGCACTACCAAGAAGAGCTGCCTTGGCTTTGGACAACACCCCTTCTGCTTACATACATGGCACAGCACGGCAACGAAAGCCGCCAGTGGCAAAAATCGTCAGACGTCAGGCCAGTGTTCATTTTTGAGGAAAAGGCGACACAATTTGGAGTTGTCGACTCGGCAGCTGCGCAGCCAATGTGAGGTGTCGTGTCTTGAATTGGAAACCATTGTTGGCTGCTTGGCGTAACATTCCCCATGTTCTCTCGGACACGGTGATGAGCGCAAGGTTTTCATGCGTTGGAAACCCATTGCACCTCGCAGTAACCGCTCTCGTGACTTTGTCAACTGTTGTCCTAGACGAGACATATCCGCTCTCTCTCTCTCTCTCGCCTCGCTCTTGTGTCTCATTGTCGTCCCTTTCGTATGTGGTCACCTTTGCATCTGGCACTGGCACATCTCCCGTTCGACTCATGGGCACAGTCCAGTGACATGCAAAGTGCTCGGCGACGTGCAGTAGCGTGGGAACCGTACAGAGGGCGGTGGTCCACAAACGGGACAGGCCACAGCAAACTGTGGACGGCACTTTGTGCGTGCTGCCGCAGCCACTCAAAAGCTCTTCTCGCGCGCATGCCTGCCTGGAGAGGCACCCTCTTTATGCAACACGCTACTGCAGGTCGAACAGTCCAAAGACGGCTGTGACTGTCAAAAAGTGTCTGCCTGTGAGTCAGTCATGCAGTGTTCAACAAGGGCGGACATCCTTTGTTGTGAATTCTCGACGGTGGTTCGTGGGCGGGCAAACAGTCATGGAATGACTTGCATTCATGTGCGAAGACGACGGCTGCAGATGTGGACAGACGTGCAGGAGAAACGGCCACTCGAATCTCCCATTCGGTCGATCTGCCACGTCGATTGAAAAGATGCACGTGAAATGAATATTACTTCTTGCGTGAGTCTCGATTTCATATTGTACAATTTTCGATCAAATTGCGGGTTCTCATCGTGTTTCTTTCTATTTTTTTTAAAAAAATAAATAAAATAAAATAAAATAAAACAAAGCAAAGAACCAACACCAATCTTGCAGACGATTTATTTACAACAGGCTGTCCCCTACGGCTGTTTCTCTTTATTTTCCTGTTAAGCCCCGCTAAAGCACCTGCAGATGGTGAGCACACTTCTCTTGATTTTTGCCCAAGCCGGCCGTGTCTGTCTCATTAAATTTGCGGCTCTGTGTGGGTTTGTGGCTCGTGCAGGCCGCTTTACAGGCCTGCCAGCTTTCTTCCGTATGTTGTATTACTCCATACGTCTTTCACGCCTGATTCTTTTGCATACTTTTTCTTTCATCGTCTCCGTGTTTTGTCTGGCGCCTTTTGGCCGCGACCAGCCCCTGCAGCAGCAGGTCAGCACCGGACGACGAACCGTAGCCAGTCCATTTTGTTTCGAGATGCTGTCTTTTTTTTCTTCTCCTTTTTCGGTTTTCTTCTTTCTTCTGTTCCATTCTGTCGCTTGTTTCGCCTCTTTGTCTTTTGGTCATGGTGGTCTATTTTTATTTCGAGTTGCGCGGTTGTCAAAAAGTCGAGTCAAGGTGGTTCGTGCTCGCGTTTGAGCGTGCCATCCTTGTAGCTCTACTGTGTCCTGTCTTCCGTTCCAACCTACTCCCTACAACGGTTTGGACGTTCACAGTATTTCTTACGATCGCCAGCATCGCCGCACCCTCTCCCTCTTCCTTCCGATTTGGACGCCTACAACACCCGCAGAGTCGCTCTTTCCCTCTGCGCAGGGGGGTCACAGCCCGTTTCCGGCTGCCTCTTGCCACCCCTGTCCCGTCTACACCCTCTGTATCTGCCAAAGTGGACCAAAAATACGGCGGCCTTGTCCTGTTTTTCCTCTTTCCAGTGGTCACCAGGCACCTCGAGGCACACACTTTGGACTTGTAATGAGTGGTCTTCCCCCTGGCTCGGACTAGCCCGGACGGAACCCTTGTTCACAGCCTTCCTGCTAGCAAGGGACTTGCTCGAGTAGTGGCCCCTCGCGCCTTCCAAACGTACCCAACTACCCCTTTTTGTCTCTTTGTTCTTTACTTTGTCTCGTAACGGATTAGCCCAGGCGCACCCTCAACCCTCTTTCCTCTGTCAACAAAAAACCCCTGTCGCCTTTCCAACGCTCCACGATGCAGGCCAAAATGACCACACCACCGCCAGCTGGCCGTTCCGCGTCCAGACCACTGAGCCGCTGTCCATGCTGGACTGGACGCAGGCACCCCAACCGCGAGCCTGTCGAGGTGTCGCACAGCAGCACCTGAGCAGCACCTCGAGCACCACGACCGACAGTCGGCCGTCTTCTCTTTCTTCTCGTCTTCCCTGGGGCCTGCTGCCACCAACAGCCACCCGTGTCTGCCTACAGCATCCACTTGCCCACTCACGTCGTCGCCCTCCCTCTCCCTCCTGTAGTCCTACGAGCCCTTTGTCGGGGGAGGTCGCCAAACAATCCTGTCCTCCCCTGTACTCTGTCCGTCTTGATTCGTCCGTCTCTGTTCGTCTCGATTCGTCCGTCCGCCAGTCTGTCTGTCCGTTGTCTGGCCGTCCCGCTGGACAGTGGCTGACCCCTCCACACCTTGGCTGGCCTCTTTTTCTCTCCGTCTGCCTCCTCCAATGTGGCTGCACCTCCCTCCAAGTCAGTCTGGCCTTGTCGAGGTCCCCACCCACACAAATGTTTCAACACACACGCTCGTCCTCGACTTTTTTTCTCCAGCCAACCAAAACTGACGAACGCATCGCCTTTTGTATAAAGCAAACCTCGTCCGCAACCTTATTTATTTTCTCCTCTTCTCTACCCACTCAACCCTCTTGTCCACCCTTTTGCTTCACCTACGACAGTACCTTCTTGACAACCCATTTCCACTCTCCTCTTCTCCTCTTCTTTGTATTCTCTCCTGACTCATTCGTCAGGCTTCTCGCTACCCTTGCATCACACATCTGCTTCCCGCTGCCCGCACCTCTTCGTCGCCTGGATTCTCCCACACTCTTGTGGTCCCCCATATGCCCCCATGTCGCCGAGAACTTCTTCAATAGATCCTCTCATTACTGACGCGGCCGGCTGACAACTCACCACACCTCTACGAGTACTACGGTGAACCAACCTGCCTACCTCCCTTGACTCTGCATTTTCTATATAAGACGACACCTCCCCGCAGCTAGAACAAGCAACTCTTCCCAGAACATATTACTCTCCGACATACCATGTGCATCAAGTACGTCTACTACAATACGTACTCTGACGACCAGTTCGACATCACCGAGCGCGTCGAATCTTGCACACCCGGCTACATCTGCCCCAACCCGCGCATCCTGCAGTTCGACCGCGAGTACGCCTGCCCCCGTGACCAGGCCAAGGCCTCGCAAGCCCGTGGTGACCGTCTGCCCGGTAGTGCTGCCGGCGCCTCGACTCCGTCGCCCCGTTCTCTGTCTCCGACCTCTGCCAGCCCGGACTCTCGTGCCGGCTCGAGCGACGCCGCATCTGGTGCTGACCGTGCTGACCACCCGCCTCGCCGTCGCCGACGCCGCACGTCCGACGTCTACGTCAACGGCACCAAGGTCTCGTCGACCTCCACCACTTCTGCCTCCTCGAAACCCCCCTCCTCGCCGCGCACCATGCCGATCCCCATCCAGCGCGCCGCCACCATGACCTACGGTGGCATGGAGCCCCCGCCGGAGCGTGGCCGCCGGCCCATCATTGTCGAGGAGCGCGTGCCCTCCCTCTACCAGAGCACGCCCCGCATGATGCCCATCCCACTGCCCACCCATGCCGACATTTACAACCACACCACCACCACCATATCGGGGCGGCCCCGCCCGTCGTCCGGATTCCGTGACTTCCGTGACTTTCGCGAGTTCCGCGACCTGCGCGACAGTCGCCCCGAGTTTCGCCCCGAGTTTCGCCCCGAGTTTCGTCCAGAGCTGCGCAACGACCTGCGCGAGTTCCGCCCCGTCGGCCTGGAGCGCACCTCGTCGCTGCGCCGCCGGGAGCCTGCGACGCCACCCCTGGACAGTGCCTTTTTGAGCCCCAACCGCGCTCGCTTCGATCGCTCCCCGCAAGGCTACGGCAGTGCCGAGGACGAGCAGGAGCGGGCTGAGCGCCGCCGCCGCCGCCGAGCCGCTCGCGAGCGCGCTTCGGTGATGCCCTCGTCGCTGCCGGCCATGGGCGCCACCGACGTCTTTGGCTCGTCCCCGTCGTCGACGTCGGGTGTCGGTTCCGGTGTCGGCTCTGGAATGGGATCGTCGGCTGCCACCTCGGCGTCGACCTCCCCCGCCGTCTCGGCCGTCAAGAAGGAGCTGCGCTGGGAGGATGAGCAGCGCCGATTACAGAACGAGCGCATCTCGCGCCGGCCCAAGATGCCGCGCGTCCAGCCCGTGCCCACCAGCACCACCACCAACACCAACCCCAAGCTGCAGGGCGAGGTCAAGTCCATCCTCAAGAACACGTCCACGTCGGCCGGCACATCACCGGCCCCGCCCGCCGAGGGCCGCTCGCGCGCCTCATCGCGTGCGTCGTCGACCCGTCCGCCTTCTGCCTCGCGCCCCTCCTCACGCCCGCCCTCGTCGTCCCGCCGCGCATCTTTTGTGGGGCCTGTTGGCGACTTGGACGACCTTTTCACCACGGGCGTGTCGGGCCTCAACATTTCGACGCCGCCGCCACCGCCGCCCGGCCCGGGCCCAATGGACGAGCTCGCCGTGGACGACGTCGAGCGCAACCGTCTCCGCAACCGCTTCAGCATGCCGCCGCGCCGGTACACCGCCGGCGGGGCCTTTAAACGGCGCACGGAGATTTGGTATCCCGAGGAAGGGCGATACCGCTTCATGTGAGATGCTACGAGGTTTACGTTGTGCGCTGGTCTGTGACGGACAAGCGTGAAAATCACACTCTTACCCCAAAAAAAAAAAAAAAAAAAAAAAAAAAGAACAATAATGGTGAATTGGGTGTACAATAGCATATGGGTCACGGGATTTACGGAACAAACTTGCATGGCATTGGCGTTTTGCTCTTTAGAGTGTTTACTGTTGAAAACCACCAGTATGTCTTTTTCGTTACTTGACTTTGAATGTCAAATGCATCCTTCGCGTGACGCGCGAGTAGATAGCACCCCCTCAAAAATCAACATAATTTGCAGCGGGACAACCTGTTCGACCCCTCCATGGTGACTGTGTGACTCTTTTTTTTTGCATCGCGCCCAAACGACACCCACCGCGATCCTCGATCGTATCGACAACAACGCCTCGTCATTACTGCGTCAACTGATTGGACAAAGTATTGCCCTCAGCTGCCTATGACTCGACTCGCCGGGGCCGGTGGTGGTGGATTGGGGGGGATGTTTTGGTGGGAGCTCGGTGGCAGCGTTCGGCAGTCTCTTGCAGGAGTGCTGTCGATAGAGAAGAGAGGAGAGGACCAACACCACCCCACCTCTGACCGCCCTCCTCATGCAAGGCTCGAGCCGAAGATCGGCTGCTGCTGCTGCTGCCTGGAACCTGGAACCTGGAGCCTTGAGCCTTGAGCCTTGAGTGAGACCGGCCTGTGGTGAGTGGAGCGACGGCAAAAAACTGGACTGAGGAGCGAAGGAGTGGATTTGTTGACTTTTCCCCCAAGGGCCAGGCCACTCACTCACTCACTCACTCACTCACTCACCAGTTGCCCCTGCGCAGCTGACAACGCCGCACCTCAGTGCGCTTGAGGGCATCCGAACACACAATGCGAGAAAAGCGAGATGTGAGACACGCCTTTGTGCAGCAAACTTGTCAGTTAATTGTGTCGTGATGCATAATAAATCGAAGCACCATGACATTACTTTTGCGTGTTGTTTGAGGGAGGGTGTAGAAAAGACACGGCACATTCAAAGTCAAAATCTCGTGTTGACAATGTGGCCTTGTCGAAGAGGCTGTCTCGCTGTCTCAGACGACGTCCACCCTTTTTGGCAACTCTTTGTTGACACGCCCACTTACACACCTACGGAATACTATCGCAGCATCCACACCATTCGCCTTCTTGCGCCCAATTCGTCCCTCCTGCCCACTGCCCACTGCGAGGCGAAGCCACACCACCTTGTCAAGGGAACTTATTCCTGCGCAGTCACGAGTCGTCAGTTGATCCACGGCGTATGCCACCTTGGCTGTCAAAGACGGTGGCCAAACATTTGACAATCGTTCTTTTTTTTTTTTTACAAAACAAAATAAAAAAAAAGCTCCGCTGCAAAGAGCCAAGGCTTGACTCAGCTGGCTTGTCCCACCACACTTGTATGTCGCCTTTTTTTTTTTTAAGTTTCCTGTTGGTCGTCCTCATGACACACCGGGACGGCACACGGCACGCGTGTTGCAAAAAGATAAAGGGCGAGACGTTCGGAGCGTTACGGAAAATAAATGGGCATCACGAACAGAAACCGCCACGCGTGGTACGACTCTTAAAATAACTTGGTCTTTGAAAAGCTACGAATCCTCTGGGGCGATTGTCAGCACATTGGCGGCAACAATCTGATGTGGTCGATTATGTACCCCAGTAACGATCAAAAATAGTCAGACACTGTGAGACGGCGCAAAAATAAAGAGACAAAAATAGTTGACATCTAAAAACATATTGATATTGCGTTAAAAATGAAAAAAAAAGTCTGGTGCCCCCTCCACTCCATCTACTTCATGTTCTTCAACAAGTAGACCACGCCCGCGAATGCTTCTTCACAGCTTGGCTGGATCTGGGCGGGCGGCAGCACAAACCCCGACTGGCCCATGTCCCGCAGCTCCGACGTGAAGCTGTACGGCACGCCCACCACGTCGTGCACGTAGTCGACGCTGTTGCCCGTCGACTTGTACAGCATCGAGCAGATGCCACCCGTCTGGAAGTAGGCGCCGTGCACGCCGTAGATGGCGTCGGAGGCGCCCGTGGCCAGGTCGGCGAGCACGGACGCGTTGGCCGGCTGGCGCTCGCACGAGTAGCCGTACGGCGTCATGAGCAGCTGGCCGTACGCGTGGTAGTCCATGTAGAGGCGGATGGACTGCGCGGCGTGCGTGGCGCGCAGCCACGACGCGAGGGCCGCCGTCTCGGGCGCGTCGGCCTGCGCACCGCCCCGGTAGTCTTGGGCGCAGGGGTCGGCGGACGCGCCGCCGTCGACGGACCACGCCATGGGCCAGTTGCGGTTGATGTCGCGGCCGATGCAGGGCGCCGTGGACCGGGCCGCGTCTTTTGACGACGGCGACGAGGACGACGAGGACGACGAGGACGACGAGGACGACGAGGACGACGAGGACGACGAGGACGACGAGGACGACGAGGACGACGAGGACGACGAGGACGACGAGGACGACGAGGACGACGACAACGATGCGTGCGTCGAATTCGCATTGTCTTGCCGGTTTTTGCGCCACAGCCGGTCCGTCGTCTGTGTGTAGACAAACCCGTCGGGGTTGACAATCGGAAAGGCGTAGACATCGTACGTTTCGAGCAGTGCCGCCAGGTCCTGCGCTGTGTCTGTCTCGGTCTCTGCCTCGCTCTGCGCGCCCGCGCCCGCGCCCGCCGCCTCCGCAAACGTAAACGCAATGTACTCCACCACCATGGTCGCAATCCACTCGCGCGCGTGCACCGTGCCGTGGAAGACGACCGCCGGCCGTTTCACCCGGCCGCCGCCGCTGCCAAAGACGCGCAGACCCGTCAGGTTGCGTCCGTCGAGCGACCGTCCCGACGACACCAGCTGGGTGTGGTCCGGGTGCCGCGCCTGCACGTCTTCCAGATACTGCACGTGGTCCGCGTACGGATGGAACGACTGGAACCACGTCGCATTGGGCGCGCCGGCCGCGTAGACGTCATAGCGCGTCTCTCGGGCGATGGCCGCTTCGAGGTCGGCGTGCATCACAACCGCATTGCCTGCCGCGTCGGGCCCCAGCCGCGCGGCCAACTCGTGTTGCGCTCCGGGCGGCACGACAATATCGGCAAACCGGCCCACAGTGCGCGCATCTTGCCATGTGCCCAGGCCAAGGTCGGCAATGGCGCGGCTCAGTGTGTCGACGTTGTCGGGGCGCACCGGTACGCGGAGGACCTGTGTGCCTCGGTAGGAGACCCGGGCTGTTGCGGAAGCCGCGTGGACGGTTGCCACCAAGAACGCTTTGGCGACGGAGGGTTTCATGGTGACCTGTCGACAGACGTTGCGACTTGGCAAACGCAGAGCCGTGTGGCAACGTGGACGGTGCCCAGGTATATCAGAATCCGCACATTGCGTCCATCACGAAAGAGCATATCTCATGACGGGACGACAAATGGACGCTGTGTTGCCGCGTCCCTCTGATGGTCAACCAAAATGCATGCACTTGACTTATTTCCCCGCGAACCCCGGGTTGATCTGCATCGGCAGTCGCAAAAGCGCCGACGACTGCCCTTTTTGAACAGTGTTTGCCTGTTTGTCCGCTGCTGTTCTCCGTCTCACTATGCACTATTAGCCGGACAACACACCTTACCCAAGAAGAGTGCTGCCTCCCTTTTTGCCGGCTGCTCTGTCACTCTATTCTGCCTTTCCGTACGCAGCCTTGATTGGACAGTCGAGCAGCAAGCTTGTTTGTGACATCTGTCACGTAAGTACTGGATCCCTTCCCCTCTCGTTTGTGGCCGCCTTCGTTTCGGCTGTTGAGCGTGGTGATGTTGTTTTGATGTTCAGTGTAGGTTATGAGTACGATGAGTACGAATGTATTGAAATTAAATAAAAAATTGTACGTAATATAAGACGTTGTGCCCGTCCACCCAACTGGAAACCGCCCAAACGCTGCTTCTCCTAATGCTTTGGCGCCGTCGTGAGGTATGGGATGTTGGTCGATATTGTTGCAGAGCCCACGTTGTAGATGGTCGTGATTGTCCGAGTGATGACTGTGTTGCCGTTGCCATCAACATCACCGCCGTTGTTCCCATTGTTGCCACCGTTGTTGCCGCCATTGTTGCCACCATTGTTACCGCCGTTGTTACCGCCGTTGTTACCGCCGTTGTTGTTGTTTGGCGGTTCTGTGTTGGCCGGCGGCGGCTGTGTAAATGTTGGCCGCCCACCGGGTCGACCACCCCCCCAACCCGGCCGTCCGGTTGGACGGCCCCGGCCAGGACCGCCACCACGGAACCCGCCGGGTGGACCTGCTTGAGAGCTGGCCGGCGCTGGATTGTTGTTGTTGTTGTCATCGTTGTCGTCGTTGTCGTTGTCATCATCGTTCGCACTTTGCACCGACTGAATGCCCGCCGGATCCAGGCACTGGTAGAACCATTCGCTGTTGGGGTTGCACGTGGTGCCCGTCTGGCACGCCGTCGGGCCATTCCAGGTCCTGCCGCCGCCTGCTCTGTTAGTACCAGTACGTTTCGTCTCGTTCCTTTGTGCAGTGGCCCGTGGTTACCTACATTGTCCGTAAATCGTCTGGGTCGGCGTGACGTCCTGTGCAGCAAGGCCTGTGGCCACAAAGAGTGCCGCCACGAGCGTGGTCGAGAGTGTCTTCATGTTTGAAGCGAGGAAACTGGTGTTTTGAGATGGGGGTTGATGAAAGGACGAGAACGAGAAAAAAGAGGGAGAGAGAAAAGGAGGGAAGGCGTGAGAGGAAACAACGGAAGACGCAGTCGAGAGCGAGCCAAAACTATTGAACCCGATGGACAAGGAGGCCGTGGAGGATAAGTATATATTTATCACACCAGGCAACGGCACTTCCTTTCGCCCACCCAATTGTAGTCTCGACGTGCCAACGATTCAAGAGTCAATCGGAGATGCAAGGATGCGGAATAGAGGGCGGTGACAGAAGCCAAGACGGAAAAGATGGCACAGATGGCATTTTCTTATTGTCTTGCCTTTGCCCCTGCTGCCTTGTTCCTGTATGCACACAAAGGATGAAAAGTGTGTGCCCTCGCTTCATCCCGTCTCCGATTGTTGATTGTTTGAGCAGACGAGCAAACAAGTAAAGCAGCAGATTGACTGGTCGTAAACTTTATTTTCTAGTTGCTGTAGTCATCGCGTTTGTTAGAAAAAAAAAAAAAAATCAATTTCTCGTCTTCTTTCTTTTCAGGGTTGCCTTCCTGAGTCGACCCCGGATTGTCTTTCATCCCATGGTCAAGGATCAGACGGCATGATCCATCATACGAGTCGCCAGAATCCGGGTTGCCATGCCGAGCAGACGCTGCCGTCGTGTTTTATCCATGGCACGCCAGAGATGGTAAAGAGTCGCGTTGAATGGTTCGTCGTAGTCGATTATCCGTTATTGTTTCGGTGACCGTATTGTCTCATATTTCGTTCACAGTCATATCATATCACGCCCTCGGCCGTCCCGTCTTTTGTCTTCCCAAGCTTGTTGTTGGCACGTCAATCTGGATAATTCTGCCACCACCCGTCATACGAGGACTTGTTCTTGGCAGCACAAGAAGAGGGCGAATGTTTCTTACTCTCTTGGCAGCCCAAACAAAAGCCGAAAGGCTAAATTGTACGCGGCCGGGCGGGTTTGACATATGTAGGTGCGTACGTACCAATGTTTCGTCGCGCAATCTGTTGGGTCTGCTGGATCTGTTGAACTCTTCCTCTGTCGATCCGATGGCGCGGGTTTTCGGACGTGCGTGGGGATGCTCCCATTCAACGAGCCGCTACGGGATATTACGCCCACCGTGCTATAATCCTGTCCCGCTTGGCACTGCCATTGCGCTGCACCTTGGCCAGGTCGGCTTCGACGGCCGCGCGCCGTTCGGCCAACCGTCGCACCTCGTCGGCCATGACCGCAATGGAGCCGTCAATCTCGGGGTCCGCAAGCTGCACGGCGCCAAAGGGGCTCTCGGCCAGCACCGACGAGCGCACCAGCCACTCGGCCCGTCGGGCATCGGCGAGATGTGTAAATGTGGCCGTCTCAAAGGCCTCATGGGCGTTGGCCACCACATCGTGGGCTTTGGCGGTGCGGTCGGCCAGAGTCGCCGCCAAGAAGCGGGCATTGATGCGGGTGGCCGTGTCGACCGACGACGCAGAGACCTCGCTGGCGAGGTCAGCATCGAGAGGGTCCTCGATCGGCAGCACGAGGGACAGGTTGTCGAGCAGCTGGTCCATGGCCGCATGTGGGCTGCCAGCGTGGCTGTCGCCCAGCCCAAAACTGCCCGCACCGTACCCCGATGAGCGGCGCCGCTGGGCCTTGAGGTCGGCGCTTGTCATGCTGCTCGTGCCACTGACCGTGCCGGAGCGTGTGCGCATGTGGGACGCACCCGTGGAGGGCCGCCGGCGCACGGGCGAGCCGTAGTTGCTGAGGCGGCGGCGCTGGTCGTGGGCCGCCTTGGCGCGTGCGGACGCCGTTGGGATTTGCACCGCCAGTTCGGTCCGTGCGGCGGCCACGAGCGCGTCGGCCGTGGCGTAGTGAGCGGCCGCCGTGTCGATGCGTGTCGTCAAGAGAGACAGGTGCTCGAGCAAGAACACCAGGCACTCGTCCACGTAGTCGAGGGCCAGCAGCGACCGCGTTACGTTCTTGGCGTTCTTGCCCGACAGCGCCTTGAGTGCCGGTGCGAGATGCTGCTGCTCCACGGACATTTGCGCCACAGGTAGAATCTCGGCGTATAGCGATTCCAGCTCTTCCTGCAGGGCGGCGACGTCGTCGTCGGGTGCGGACGATCCCGATGCAGTCGTCGCCGATGCGGTGCCGGCCTCCAGCGCCTCCAGGTACAGCCGGTCCAGTTTCGTGCGGATGGTCTCGACGGCATACTTGATCAGGTGCAGGCAAATGTCCCGCAGCCGCGCGATGCTCGCCTGCTGCTGCTGTGCGGCCGCGTCCTGCGCCGCATCGCGAGACGCGACAGCCGCCGGCAGCGCCCACCCCAGCTTCTGCAGACTCGCCAGCAGAGTGTCGTCGGACCGGCACAGCCCGTCCACCGTCTGTTGCACACGCTGTGCAAGCGCACGGTTTTGTTGACCCATGTCCGCCACGCGGTCGTCCAGCGCGCGGCTCAGCCGCTCTACATCGGCGGCGAGGTCGGTGCGCGCGGCGTCCCATCGCTGCTGGTGGCGGGCTGCAAATGCAGCGCGGGAGGCGGTGCCGGTGGTGCTCGAGAGCGCCTCCAGTTTGACCACGGCATCCTGCTGCTGCCGCACCCTGTCCGTCTGCTTGCGGATCGTCTCGGTCGAGCGCTCGAGCGCGGCAATGGCAGCCCGCAGATCGTCGTCCGACAGGGGGAGAGACACCTGAACACCGTCGCCCTGGGCATCGTCCAGGCTGGCGGCCAGTTGTTCGTCTCGCCCGCTCCGCTGCAGGGCATCGTATCTATCCAGGGTTAGAGGGCGGTGATGCAGAACGAAACGTCCATGGAAAGACTGCTACCCACAATTCCAGCTCGTCCAAGGTCAGCAATGTGTCGTCGACCAGGTGTGTTGCCGCCCATTCGACCAGCTCGGGCCCACTTGCGGCATCTTTCAGGGCGGCGTCGAGTTGGGCGTCGTCAACCGCGATAGCCCGCGCCCGCAGGATGCTTGCTAGTTGCTCTGACCGTGCCATTGCCCATTGAACTCGACAGGATGCGTCGGGATTTGAGATTCAGGGGCAGAGGCTGTTGTTGCCGGTTCTTCAATCTGGGCAGGCCGCACAGATGGAGATTTCGAAAAATTCAATACCAAGGCCAATTGAGCTCAGGGCCTGCTTGTTTGACTGGCGAACGTACGTCCGGTACAAAGCTGTCGGTACGATACTGTGACGTCGTTCACCGTTTGTTGTGGTGGGCGTTTCAGTCGTCCAGGTCACTAGTCCCGAATAGGAAGCACAGCAACACTTGGGCACGTCACGTGTTTGGATCACCAACTTCATCGCAACGACACGCCAGGATCCATTATGCCGGCAGTGTATGTGGTGAATTTTGTTTCAAACAAGTTTTGCTTACCAGATCGAGAGAATGACGTATGATCTGAACGCGTTGGAAAATCCGCCCGCGTCAAATATGGATATGGTATCGGAGAGCCGATGGATGAATGGCGACAAACGGCAACGCGAGAACGTGGCTAAATTACGATGCAGAATCCCTCAAATGTGCTAAATAAAGACCGATAGCAGAATCGAAGAGGATATTCCGAGACAATGGCAAAACACGCGGCCCTCGGACAAACCGGTAGGAACAAACCGGTATGATCATGATCACCATGTCTGCTATACCCGAGAAATCATTGCGTCGATCAGATCATCACGGCCAAACCAGGAACAAAATGTCTCAAAGTCCAAAGGACAGGAGTCACCGATACGGCAACGACAAAAAAAGACGCAGATATAGATTGACATAGCCAACCAACAGCCAAGATTGTTTCCGTGTTTCGCTTCCGCCGCGGTGAGCGTGCGTGGCAGCCGTCGACGGTCGCTTGTAACGATGGGCTCTGCGGCATGCTTTCTTGATTGCGTACCGCTTTGCTACGGACAATTTCGAATTGACCCCTGCTTGGCAGCTGCGAAGCGAGCTCGATCTACATTTCTTCCTAATCTACGGATAGGCGATGGGGACCAGCAAATTCCGGGTAAACGGGGTTGCTGTGTCGCGACAATGCAAGAATGCCAATGTGCCTCTAGGCGTTATCTGTGGCTGTCCTGCGACGCGGTGGCTATTCCTCGGTGTGCCAAGATTCCAAGGTCGACATGGTATGATATCTTGACGGTATGGCCAACCAAGACAGGTTATAAAAGGATTCCGGAATTGATGAGGCGTGCGGACAGACGGGATCGCGATAGGAACAGTACAAGAAACTGAACCAAGGATGGCTATACTGGACAACATATAGGCGTCTCGAACGGGACGATGTATACCGAGAGCTGGGAAGTGGCACAACCCAGGCACAGGGTTCTCGGTCCTTGCGAGGGTGTATTCCTTGCTATGCGTATAAATGCCGCCGCAGATTCCCTCTCTCTTTTGACAGCTCAAGCTTTGTGTAGTGCAGTGTCGTGTTATCCACGTGTCGTTTAACTGCAACAGCAACCCTACATCCCACTCGCCTACCTAATTACAACGTCATGCGCTACATACGCCTATTGCTGGCACTCCCGTGCCTGATGTCGCCGGTGATGGCGAGAGTCGACCCCCTCAATGCCGGGCGTACACTGACCGGCTGGGACTGGTAAGTCGGATTGGAGACCGGCGGGCGCAGCGGGGACGTGTGTTGCCCTCACGCAGCGTACCACTAACATTGCAGCTGCAAACCGGCGTGTGCATGGTCCAATCTGGCCTCTCAGGCCGGTGCATCGTACGTTCTTCCCAGTGTCTTTTTTTTTTTTGGTCTTGTGTCCCTTCTTCATCCTGACACAATCAGAGGCAGCGTCCGTGTTTGTGACAAATCCGACAGACCCATGTCGCTCGCCAACGGCCAACGCGAGGACAGCGGCTGCAGCAGGACACCGGGCAACGCCTATCTTTGCTCCGACTACAGCCCCCACATTGTCGACGAGAAGCTGTCCTATGCCTTCGCCGTGACCAATGGCACGGCGGATTGCTGCAAGTGCTTCGAGCTCACCTGGAAGGACGGCCCCGTCGCCGGCAAGCGTGTCCAAGTGCAGGTCATCAACTCGGGCGGCGACGTCAACACCGAGACGGGCCGCGACTTTGTGATTGTCACGCCCGGCGGCGGCGTGGGTCCCAATGGGGGCGGCTGCAATGCGCAGTATGGTGCCAACTGGGGCCGGGCGTACGGCGGCGTGACGAGCCGCGAAGACTGCGCGTCGCTGCCGAGCTCGCTGGAGAGCGGGTGCTACTGGCGGTGGAACTGGGCGCGGGGCGACGTCAACAACTGGAACGTGTCGTATGTACCGATTACGTGCCCAGACTACCACACACAGATCTCGGGGTGTTCTGCGGGGCGGTAAAGTTGTTTGTACGAAGAGGACGTGTCGTCTTTTGACGTTTACCGTTTGTCGTTCTTACCTTTTCTTCTTGGATTGTGGCGGTGATTATTGGGTGATGAAATTAATGGTATGGTATTTCGGTATGTTGACAAAATAGTTTAATAGGCGTAAAGAATTGTTTTTTTCTCTCGTATGGACCGGCGCCAGCTTTGTCGTGCTTGCGGTGTGCCTGTTGGAAGAGCGGCGGCGTCGAGCCGAGGAAGGACGGATGCAAATCTAGACAACTCGTATCGAAGATTAAGAGTCAGTTGTGCGAGTACGTCGATATTCTAGAAAAATGCATAGTCACGACGCCGTCATAAAATTCAGGGGTACACAATCAGTCTAGTAATATTGTCAATATACGGTCGGTAAGGAAATAGTAAAAGGATAAAATCATAGTCTGTCGACCCCGGGCGTAGAAAACTAGTCTTTGATTTACAATAATATAATACTGACGGTTTCATATCGTAGGAAGATGGCCGACCATGTTACGGGTCGACCGGTCAGGAGTATAACTCTCGCTCCCGGTATGTTATGTGGTCAGGCTTGGCCACTTTCCTTGTTCGTGTTGGTATCATCTTGGATTGTCCAGCTGGTATGCTTCTTCACTTGGCGTATTCATACTGCAGCTGGTGCACAGCTCGTCCAGGGCAAGCCATACATCGGTTCCGCGGAGCAGCATGCCGAGTCGACGCCATCACGGAAGCCGCACGGGCACGGCGCGTGGAGTATGCGGCCCGCTTGGCAGAGACGGTGCAAGCCCAGTCCACCCCGTCCAACCTGACGGCCGCCATCAGCAAGCACAAACATATTATACAGTCGGCCGTGGACGAGGCACAGCGGATGGTTGCCACGGCTATGCAGCTTTGGGCCACGACGTACCATCCATATGTCAAGAGTCCGCGACGCAATATGTACTTAAAGGGGCAGTTTTGGGGGCGCCGGGAGGCTAGAAATGGCCTTATTGGCAGCGGCACACTAGTTAATAACGCAATCAGCGGATTGGTAGTTCGGTTGGTGACGGCCAGCGAAAACCGCTGTTATACGTTTCTTTTTTGTAATATTTCTGTCGTTTTTTGTCGTCGCTCTTTAGTCCTTTTAAGGCCATGCCGTCTGTATTTAGTTTATTTTTTTTTTATTTTTTTTTTTTGTTTCATTTACTCGCTTACTGTTTATACACCTTCACTCCACGCAGTGCGGCATACTTTGGTTTCGTCGCTTATATACATCCACAATTCATATGTACATAACACGCACAATTCATCCCACGTACGCCATATCGTCCCGTTTGAATTGCGGTAGAAACGTAGCATACGATGAACTGGCCATAGAGGCCAAAGTATGACATACACCGTATTCGTCGACTAACATTGTACTACGAAGATGCTGATCTTTGGCCCAAAATAACTGACTCGCTGTGGAGAAAGTCAGTGATCATCACGACTGCAGACGGCCTTTAAGACAACACGACAGGACGGCCAAGACGACCGAAGCGCGATAGGCGAGATCGTCCTGTCGTCCTGTCTATCTTTTTGGTTTACCGGCTCGTATTCGCAGGTGTGCACTTCCAGATGTGCACACCCCAACATCCTTCTCTGTTGTTGTGTTCTTGGCATTTTGCCCCTGTTGTCTGCAATTCTGCCAAGATGCATGCACACGGGCGATGATCGCCTGGCGCCGGCGTACCGATTCTATGGTGTACTACATTGTGGTACTGCAAGATACCTTAGCTGGTTGGATACGTGCTCGCCGTGTGTTGGACATTTGTGATGGGTGCATCGAAGCAGCCACCACCGCGGTCCGTACAGCATACAAGGGGGAAAGATGGGTGATTCGGTACATTTCCCCGCGGGGCGTAATGCACGACGGGAACGGCCTTCTGGGCGAAGGAGGAAGGAAGCTGCAATGGAGGTAGCTTTTGGAGCATTTGGAGAACTTCTGGGGTGCTGATCTTGGCGACGGCTCGGAATCACCACGTGTTGAGGTCGTGGTGAGGTTTCGGGACCCCAAGAGACTGGGGAGACAAGAAGACGAAAAAGACACCACAAGGCCAAAAGAGACTGGCGTGTTCTGTGGTTCAAGTTCGCGGATCACCACGACGATGACTTGTTGGGGAGTGATCGGATGGTCAGCGACCGGTTGACACGTTGATGGACGACTACACGGTAATTGCTACGTAAAACCGCAGGTACGTTATTATGCGCTACATGTTGGTCGAGCTCGTCGGCCAAAAGCAACGGCCTCATGTCGGTTGTCCTTTTCAGTGTCTCCATCTTTTGGCCATTCGTTTCATCGTTCTCTTCGTCGGTCGATCCTCTGACCATTTGCTTGCTTTTTCTTTTGGCTCCGGATTTACGTCGTAAGTCGGCCTATCAACTCCGAGTCGTTGGTAATTTATTCTCCCTGGCGTCGTTGTATTGCCACTTCTGCTATGTTGTACTTGCTTACGACGTACGGAGTACACCTGCTTCCTGCTCCCAGGAACCAGCGTCTCCCACTTCTTACCGGTAGCTTACCGATTTCCCACTTCATCCCACTTCTCCCACCTCCGTCTCCGGTCCTCTCGCTTGTCACAAGTCTTGATGTGACATTGTTCATTCTTCGTCTTTCTCGCTCCTCCAAGCAAATGCCAAACTGCGAAA